TAGAATTTGTAAGCCAGGTATGGTGTCGGGAAAAGGCATCCAGGTCCCAGGTAGGGACTCAAGATGGCTCAATTCCTCTTCAGGTACAGAAACATTAAGTTCGTTGGCGAGATTCTTGAACGAACGCGAGACGATGCTGCCATAGCGTAGGGTAGGCTCCTCCTCTTCAAGGACTTGGGTAAGCTCATGAAAGCGCTGAATCAACAAAACAGGATTCTTTTTGTAATCGCTTTCGGAAGGAAGACGACTAATAATAGGCTGCAAGCCACGGATCATACCAGACTCTTGGTCTATCAAAGTGCCATAGCAGTCAAACGACAGGGCCTTGAACGTCGTAAGATCAGGGTAAGACATAATGAGACTTATGGGCTGAAAACCAACAGTGAAGTAGTATGAGCAAGGTTTTGGTAAATATTGCTATTCTCGTTTCTAGTGAATCAGAAATTGAGTTTAGGTGAAAAGATTCATCAATATTGGCAGCTTATATATACTCAACTCGCAAGGGCGTCGTTGACGAGATCACGATTTCCTTCTGACCACTGACGTCAAGGCAGGATCCTTCTGCTAAGGCGGCGAATCATCGCGAACCGTTTCGATCGATCGAATTTTCCAACAAGGCCATTGAAAAGCACATTGTTTATCAATTTCTGGTAGCAAATTGGTTCATGAGTTAAGCAACCTTAGTGTAGAGTTCAAGTATTTAAGGAATAATTACATTTAATAAAGGCAAAGTATTTGCCAGTCTCAGAAACCGAAAGAATAGCCAGAAAGGAAATAACACCACAGAAAAGAATGCAAAGAAAACCTGATTAGGGTAAGATGTTTAGCTACCAGACAGCTTGGATACCGCAGGTGCCTTGCGCACCCAATCCTGTAGCCCACTCTCAGCAGCATCAACAAGCCATCTCGCCAGCGCACCTCGTGGGAAAGCATACGTATAACCCTTCTGTCCAACATATCCCACAAAAGACTTCCCGTCCTGCCTATCTTTCGCCCAGCTTTCCTTGTCAGAGCCCCCAGGGATAGCCGAGATACGGAATATGGTCCAATCGAGGTCCTTGGCGTTGGTCTCGAATGTTTTCCCGATCGTGGTGATAGCGCGATAAGCGTTCGAAAAAACGGTGCGGACCATGAGATTGACTGTTGGTTGGAGGACAGTCCATGAATCTTGTTTCTGGGTGATAGTGAGCGTTCCCATGGCAAAGATTCGCTTAACGCCGTGTCGTCGCATCGCGGGAAAGAGTGAGTTTTTGTAGAAATCGGGAATAGCGTTTGGGGGCGAGGTGCGATCGGTGATTAGAGGTCCGAGGAGCGAAATGACCATGTTGACCTTGACCACGGCTCGGTCGAGAGCTGCCTTGTCGGATAGATCTCCTTTGACGATCTGACAAGGTTAGCTATTTCCTTCATTCACGATTGTCACCCTGCGTGCGACCTACCTCAAGTGATGGATCGGAGATCAAGTCTTCTGGAATCTTTTGAGGGCTTCGTGCATATGCTACCACTTTGTGTTTGCGATGAAGTAGCTCACGAAGTAGACAAATGCCCGCGGGCCCGGTACCGCCAAGCACGAGGACAGTTAACGAAGGCATACTGAATGGTGTTATTGAATGGAAGATTATTAGTCGAGAATGAATACTAGATAGTTGCGTGAATTGACGTTTATATACACATCTTTGCTCTATAGCCTTTCTCAAACCCTCATGTAAGCGCCGCGGCTCGGATGCTTTTTGCATCCGTCCACGCTTCGCTCATGTAAACAGTCGATAAGCCACCCGAAAGCCGACTACCGTAGAATTGTGGGCCATATTCTCAATTACCCGTAGTAAGCATTGGGGGAAAGCTTTCAAGGGAATACACCATAGGGTTGAGATGCTTGGCGTCACCGCGAATCTATGGAGAGAACGCATCTCTTTGGAGACAACATGCTGTTACTCGAGGTTGAGAACATGACTCAATGCTCCCGATCATCGGGACCCCATTTTGATGCCGCCATAATACTGTTCAAGCATATTCTCGAAGCGTGAGATATGAGACATCTTGTGTGACGCGTACTATTTGATCCAACAGAGATGTCAGCGGAGCGGGCGAACAGAATCGATTATTCAGGCGTCAACTTGCTTTCTTCTACATAAGTAGCTTTACGATTTTTCGCTTCTAACACCATTCCCACTAATATCGTATCTAGCAGTTCACTGGAGCAAGTTTCGCGTCTCAATGACCATGACGAAATCGGGTTAAACTGAAGCCAGTCTGAATATGAATCATGGAACCGGGTATGAGAACGAAGTTATTCTCAGTATCGCAGACACAGTGGCTCTTGAGAGCTGGATGAAGAAACAAAAAGGAACGGGAATTTCTCATTCATCACTCTGGCCCAAAGGATAGGCCAGATTCTTGGAAAACTTGATCGAGGGGCTGAATGACGAGGAGATCCGAGCACAAAACGGCTCTAACCAGCGTGGTGAGGGTTTGGCGGAGATGACTCTACTACGAACTATGCTGCTAGGCTTTATCTATCGTGATACTCGTCGGTTGGAACTCCGAAGCGAACGAAGTTGTTAACCTCGCATCTAACGTTAGCGACTTGAAGCTACTGCAAGGCTTGAGTAAACCTCGCCGGGTGATGGCGTTAGCCTGACCCTTCTGCGTTATAGGTTGTCTGGTGTCCGAAAGCCACGTATCGGTAGCGGAGAGCATCCTTAACAAATCAAAGCCACCGAGTACCGTGGGGGGCTTGATCGAGGCTATGAATATCGTGCAAGAAACGCGGAAAAGGACAGGGGTGATGATTCAAGAGTGGGACATGACAGCGCTTTAGGAGTTCGGATGACGCTGTTCGTTTAAGTGGTCGAAGATGCTTTTGAACGTAGAAATCGGTTAGGGGGGAACAAAGGTTTTAATACGGATTTGCGGAAAAGAATCTACCAAAAAGGGGCGACCATAGTGTAAGCCAAAATGATTTGTCCCGTTTACAGTTCGAGGTTATCAGTTGCAATGCTCACCTCAAGAGTCCGCCCTTCCTTCAGCTTGCCTTGCAGTTTTGTCTTTTAGACTCGGATTTACCTATTCAGCATTTCTAAAGTTAGCAAACAACGTTGTTGTAATGGACTGAAACAAGATGCGATGGAAAGTCTCATATGTCAGGCGATGTCGGTTCAATGGGTCCTCAAAGACGCAGTATTCCATGCGAGTAACCTCAGTTCGGCAAAATATTATGCATCATGTAGATTATGAGTAGGAGAGATGAAGCAGGATATATCTCACCTTTCTTGAATGGTCTTATTGACAGTGCTTCACTGTTGATGACTCGTATTGTCAGACCTAAGCTGAGACTCCCTTCAAAGTTTATATGCTATGATATATATAATTGCATGCCTCACTTCTTCATCTTCACCGCTGATACTATCAAGATACAATAGTATCCTAGTACTCACGATGAATCATTTTGCATAGTATGGGATACAACGTCACGCCGAGACAAAAGGAGTTCGGCGAGAGAATGTTCCCTGCTCTTAATGCTGCAGAGTAGCGGCTCGGGTTTGATGAAGTGCCCGTTGGATGGATGAGGGGCCTCACTCCAAGTCCGACATCCCACAGCCCGCCGTGAAAGTAATCACTCAAATAGTATATTTCTGTTCTTCTTATGCAAACCCTCATTTACATTGGAAGACCTGCAACAAGGTATGGTTTCGAGCGATGCAATTTAGGCAAGAAAGTCTCTCAAACATATCTATATATTTAATAAAAGTTATTTATGAGTCTACAGTACCACCTTCTAAATGATATTCAGCCTACTTTCACACACCAGTTGAACGCGTGAACGACTTTCTCGCTCGTGCTGTCAAGGCTAAGGTGCCTGACAGCGAACACTGCATCAAACAAGATGCACTAGATAATTACCCCTAAATTCAGCGTGGGATGCTCAGAACTAGACATCCTCGATACAGAATGATACAGAATGACTCATGGTGATTCTCCCGATTTGGAAATTCTGAACTGGGGATGGCTCGCGCTGATTGGAGCGCTGGCAGATTCACAGTTAACGAGCGCGAGCGAAGGTAATGAAATCTAGAATATATATCTATGTATAAGAAAAGCAAGCAGAGCTTTCAGTGATACTATTTAAAATCGTCTAGGCCGCAATGTTTGGCGCTGAGCATGTTTGCTTTTATCCCATCAACCGTCGATGAAGCTCGCGGCATGACCAGCGTATCCGATCTTTTAAGCGTGAGAACCTCTTCTAAAGTGCCTACTGGCACTTCCTTCTACAGGATTTGCAATTCTTCCGATATTTGGTTTACGAACGCTAGGTATGCTTAGTTGAGGAGGCGTTGAAATGCATGTGTACCGAAACTGGACGTACAACCGCATTTCGGGAATGAAAACTTAGTCAAGAACATCAGCCTTGCCTCTGGAGACCAGTTGTTATCTCTGAACATCAATGACAGTTATGTACTAGGGAAAAACAGTGAAGGAATAATGCTTGCTGCTAGTCTATTGATGTGGCGACGCTGACGCCTCGAAGACCTGAATGCTGGCGCTCAAGCTTCATCGACAACAGTATCGTATTCGTCTGCACCCAATTCCGCATATTTTTCTCATCCCGAAGCTGGTGAAATACTTGGACTCTACATGCCGAGACATGCAAGTATGCTTAAATAATTCACGCGATAGGTTGGGGAAACACGATATCCGGCAGATCAAGATGGATTCGGCAAATGTCAACTGCCGATCGAGAAGCTTGGCCAGCTACCAATTCATTATCCAAATTTGGCAGATAAAAAGGCTGATCTCATTTCATAATTATAATCGTCATTTTGACATAGGTTGATCTCATATTAATTAGAATGTCCCTCCTGGGGATGAATGCCTCCGGACCTAAAATTCCGGGCGTACACGTTTCAAGTCCACATTATTATGTCCTGCCACCTCCATAATCAACGGGTTTCCATTTTGATCCCGGCCATTCCGCCGATCCGTCCGAGAAAGAAAAAGCCATGAATAACGCCTTTGTTACCTTGGAATGCATTACAGCTCTCTCCCAATCGCGGCCGATTTCTGCTCAAGGTATTCGATCAGCCCAAGGTGACGCGCTTCAAGTTTGGGCACCCGCGCCCGCGCTTGACCCTGAGTTGAGTCGCGGTAATAAAAGAACACAGCTACTGGGCATGAAAGCCAAGTCCGGTGATAGTTGCGCGTTCGGTGATTCGAGCAGAACTGCTATTTGGTTCCTTGTATGCTCCGATAAAGAGAGCGAATATGTTTCTTTGGTTGAGGACATTGACTGTTGAGAGACCTCAGTCACAGAGGAAGAGGTAGGTTCATTAACGAATGGCATTTTTGTAGATTGTCAGACCCTTTGTGAAATTGATCGGCGATGGTATTCCACTTCGAGTGATTTGGGCGAATGCACCGCATTTATGGCCGTTGCACTGTATTTATATCGTGGCCACGGTACGGGGCGTTGGGTGAACCTCCGCCTTCTATGATTCAGAAGACTACAGTGTAAAACCAGTCATTGCGGGGGTGATTCCCTCCATGTTACATTCGGACTCTTCGGCATATTAGCGCTACTGACCGACCTACGTAATGAAATACAGGGTCCAAGAGACATCCTGTTTTAAATCTCGTCGTGTGTCTCTCTCGTGTTCCTTTTTTTTGCTGCTGATTTCTCTTCTCCTTCTGCTCTGATTAACCCTGTTTGACCCATAGGCAATCATCCTTGGTAGCCCAATAAACATGGCGCAGTGGACTTGAGCTCAGACAAGACTCTAAGCGAGACCTTGATTTACAGTGGGTTATCCAGGCCCCAGCCCAGGCCAGCTGATGCTCTGGGCCCCTGGGGTCGCTGTCACAGCATCTGGAGGCCTGCACGGAATCATCACCCAACCGTCGCAGTTGTTGATTTATATTAACAGCCCTTCTGTGTATGCTTCTTGTGTATGAATCTTGAGCCCGTTCCTCAAGTGAAGATAAACACTGTACGCAATAAAACTTGCATTAGCATGTGACTGATGGTTGCAACCCAGAGCCTTTTGACACATGAACCCCCCAAGGCCTTTCGGGAAGGGTCCGCAACCCATAGTAAAACGCAGGGTTCAATATGCATCTCTGGCACGAGACAGTCTACACTACGTCATGCGCTTCTAGAGCGCTGGTCCCGTCTGAACCATCACTTTCTAGAAGTGGTTTTAAGGGTTTCTCTGGTCCCCACGTATGAGCTGTAATATCAGTACCTACAAATAAATACATCTGAGCTTCTTTTTTCCCACGAAGCATTTGATCCCTGAAATTTCGTAGTGGACTATGAATCAGACTAAGCAGCCTGAGCAGCCTGAGATGGATACAGACAAGAACAAACGCCTCTTGAATCGATATGGGATCCTACCAAAGCGAGGCGACCTTCTCAGTCACCAATTAGAGGTTCGCATGACCGATTCTGTCCTTGAAACGTGCCAAGCTAACAGTTTCGGTGGAAGGGAAGAAAATATTTCGACTCGGGAGACTTTGCTCTTAACCAAGCTCATCGGTCATCTAACATTGGCAACGTCACAACAGGTCAGGAACACCCAATCCGTCAGGAAATATCAGAGCCTTCTAGTTCCGTCCCGAGTTCAAGCAACATCGATGATAACGCAACCCAACCGTCGTCAACGAGACAAAGAAGCCCAGAAGTAAAGTTTCATGCCCAAACTCACCTTCATCAAGAGATCGAAAGCCCTCCCGAGAGTGAACGTCATAGGACAGATGAGAGAAATAACGGGTAGGTTAGTGTTGATATGGTATGCTTTTAGAAAGCCTGACTCAGTCTGTGAGTTTTGAGGTATTCTCGTGCAAATTGAAAACGGACATTGATATCTCAACGGCTGTCTATGTAATTTTAGCTTTATCGAAGCTCTCTTCCAATGTCAATATTAAACTTCGCTCTCTTCTGACCACTTGAACTGCATTGGGATCCTCTCAACACCATCAATAGAAGCGTAATTGGTTTAGTGGTAAAATTCTCCGTTGCCATTCGAGCAGCGTCGGGGAGCCCAGGGTTCGATTCCCTGATTACGCATTGAAAGAGCTGAAGCTCAAGATATCTTTTTGCGATTGCATTTCTTTGTATCCTTGCGAGTTTTGAGGATGTCCCAGTCCATCCGTGGAGGTGACGTTGAGGTTTGAGCCAAATACAAGAGGGAGGTCAACTTTCAAGCCTCTGCTTGGTCAGAGGGAAAGTGCGGATGGACTATTTCCATTTCTGGTAACTCGTACCACTTCTACCGCTGATCGTTGACATACAGTTGAGATGGGAGGTATAGAGTCTGCTCACATTTAAGATCAAAGTGTTGTACTTGTTTATTTGCTTCTTTTCTTTCTATGCTCACTGTTGGGAGATGTCAACTTTGCTCCACCAAAACTCAGATTGTTTACGAGCCCAATCATCATCCGTAAACACAGCAGTCTTGCCAGCATCTCCTCCTATCAGCTCCTCATTCCCTTCGCCAAATCTCAACACCCTGGGACTCTTGGGATCATATGCCTCCCATTTAGGTCTCTGGGGATACTCTCCTGGGACAGCATTGGGATCACCTTTTGTGATGAAGCTGGTAACGTAATGGTTCAGTGTCTTGGCAAGGTCTTTTTGTGTTTCGGAGACAACGACAACCTTGGGATCGCAGACTTCGTAGCGCATATTATCAGCGTGCTGGGCACCGTTGTTGACTGTGCTCACAGCGGCCCAGTGGTAGAGGTAGACGGGCACTGATGGGGAGGCGAGCTCGGCTGTTTGGCGTGCGGGAGCGACATAAGCATAGTGGGCATATGCAGCCTCGATGCGCTTGTACTGCGATCCCATGTCTTTACGTGTCTCCTTGTACTCGGAATCCTCATACTTGGCTGGGTCTCGGTAGAGCTCCTCGATAGTGTCCAAATCCGTCGAGGTAAGCAGCGGGAGCAACTCAGCCCAGAAATGTCGAAATTGGGAAGAATCTGACATTTGCTTGTTCACATAAAGCGAACCTTCGTTCGTGGTAAAGCCAGTCATTATGGGCACCTTGTGCCACTTGCCCGACTTCCATGTCTCAAGAGGCGGCCGCGCGATAACTTCACCGTCAATGACAGGTTGGAAAGCCCAGCGAAGGGAAGGGTTGTACTTGTCAAACGTGGCTGTTTGTGCATCTGTAATGACCTTCTCAGGTTGTTGGCGCAGATAAGGGAAGATCTCATTCTCTGGGAGATCTTCGGGGACGCCGACCGCGTGGAGAAAGTCCTTGAACTGGGCTTCATGAATCGGCGCGTTGTAAGGTCTCACGGCTCGTGATGTAGGAGCTCCGGACTCAATAATGGCCTTGTGAAACAGAGGGGCAACACCCTCATTATAGTGCATGATATGATGACCGATCTGCTTAAAGTTAGTTGACTGCATCCCAGAATTGTCGTTCGAACTTACAGAATGAGCACCGGCAGACAGACCAAACAATGTGACATTACTGGGGTCACCACCGAAGGCTGCGATGTTTTCTTGCACCCATTCCATCATGAGAATTTGATCCTTCAGTCCAAGGTTAAGAACACCCTCCTTAGCACTGAGACTTGAGGGCAAAAATCCCAAAGCTCCAATGCGATATTGAAACGTCACAGCGACAAAAGCCTCAGGTGCATTCGCCACCATCGACGCCGTCTTGTGCATATGCGCCGAACCTCTATTGAACGCACCACCATGGATATACAGCGCTACTGGTAATTTTTCATGTTTGTCCGCAGACTTGCGAAAGATATTCGCTGTCAAGCAATCCTCGCTCTGCTCAAGCGTGGGACCTACCAACAGTCCCTTGCCAGGAGCTGCAGGTCCATATTCAGACGCATCAATGACTTTGTCAGGTGAAGCTGGGACTTTGACAGGGAGGCGGAAACGAAGATCGCCTGTTGGAGGTTGAGCGTAGGGAACCCCCATCCAACCATCTACAGGTTGGGGTAGGCTATCATTCAGCTTGACGCCGACAAGTTTGCCCTGAGGCAAGGAGATGGTTGGAGTGTCTGGAGAAATCTGGCTACCCATTTTGACTTAATTTGTTGTTATCACAAATGAGGAATCGTGAGGATATAATGGTTAAATACAGCAAAGACTCGACACTGACAAAACTCACTGTTGGAGTAGCGCCACCAGTATGAGGGGCATCTCCTCGGCGTCCAAAAACCGCTCCGCTCTCCACGGCTCAGTTCCGACAACGGCTTCAACAGCAGAATCACCGGAGATAAGTGCCATCTGCGCCCTATCTTTCCAATCTGAGAAATAAAACACGCGAATCTCCTTGTTCAGATCGGGGAACTTCCCTGCCCCGCGATTTCGCCTGTTGAATATGGACCCGATCGTTGCCGGCATTAGATCTGAGGACCGAGTATCGGAGCTTGGTAGCGGCCAACTGGAACTAGGCCTAAACCCCGCAAACTTGGGTGATTTTAGTGAGGCTGTCATTGGTGAGAACACCGTTTGCGCTGCCTTGAGTCAGGAACTGCTGCTTCGCTGGGATGGGATCTGCATGATACACTGATAGGGTTAATTCGCTTGGTTGATACGAGAATCATGTACCCCGGACCATTGTCTATCGCTTGTTTGACTGAAGGGAAGATTATATGGGTCTTTGGCCTCCCATCATCATGAATCTCAAACTGGTCTCGCAGAGCAACATACCCACCTAGCTTCTCACACTCAGTTAGGGTGCTAGGAATCGCTGGTCTAAAGGCATCCTAAGTTATTCTTAGTTATCCTAAGCTTACCTAAATCTTTTCATCGCCTAGGATACAGGCCCTAAGACTCTTGCCTTCCCTAGCGATGTCACCAACAACATCGGGGCCGTTGCCCGACAAGAAGCTCGCTGAAGAAGAGCAAATCGCCATGAAAAAGCTCGACTCAATTACCCCAGGCGAAGTCGTCGAGCTTGACGCTACAGAAACATTCCTCCGTCAGCATAACTTCACAAATGAGTACATCGGCGAATTATTGACCGATACGGAGCTCAACAAGAAGCTCATCCGAAAGGTCGACATGATCCTCCTCCCCATGTTGATGGGCACATACATGCTTCAATACATCGATAAGAATGCTCTTTCATATGCTGCTGTGTTCGACCTGTTCACAGACACAGGAATCTCATCGGATCAGTATTCCTGGTTTGCTTCAATCTTTTATTTTGCTTATATGGCTGCGGAGTACCCTTGGCTGTTTCTCGCACAGAAAACGCGCATGGCCAAGGTAGTCAGTGGCTGTGTAATTGCGTGGGGAAGCGTTCTATTATTGACCGCTGCGGGAAATAACTTTGGTTCGTTGGCGACGTGCAGATTCTTTCTTGGTGTGTTTGAGGCTCCGATCACCACTTGTTTCATGATGATCGTTTCGATGTGGTATACGCGTGAGCAGCAGCCGTTCAGAGCAGGTATATTCTACTGCTGTAATGGCGTTGGAGCTATGGTAAGTCCAATTTCCCTCTTGCTCTGACCCTGCTAACGTTGAAAAGCTTGGTGGTATCCTTACCTATGGCATTGGCCAGATCAAGAACTTTCCCGTTTGGAAGGCTGTTTTCATGACCTGCGGAGGCATGACAGTCGTCTGGGGCTTTGTTCTGTTGTTCTTTCTCCCCGACAGTATCATGTCAGCTCGCCATTTCACCCTCGAAGAACGAGCCCTACTCATCGGCCGTGGTCGTCTCGCTCGAACTGGTGTTCTGAACAAGACCATCAAGTGGAACCAAATCCGCGAGGCTTTTATCGACCCTCAAGTCTGGCTTCTTGTTTTATTTATGCTCCTCAACGAGACCATCAACGGAGGCATTGCCAACTTCGGTAAGCTTATCATCAAGGGTGTAGTCAAGGATCCTCTTGAGACAGTCGCTCTTGGTATCCCCATGGGCGCATTCCAAGTCATATACATCCTATCAGGCACCTTCTTAGCTTCACGCATCAAGAACTGCCGAACCATCATCATGGCTGTCTACCTTATCCCCACCATGATCGGAGTCTGCCTGCTCTGGAAACTTGATCGTGAGCATCACAAGATCGGTGTACTCTTCGGTTATTACATTATCGGTGCCTTTGTCTGCTCTCTGGTCCTTGCGATGCAAATGCCCGCTAGTAACCTCGGTGGCTACACCAAGCGTATCACTGCTTCAGCAATGGTCTTCATTGCCTACTGTGTCGGCAATGTCATCGGCCCTCACGCTTTCTTGGGCTCCGAGGCCCCATTGTATCCATCTGGATGCATTACGATTCTCAGCTGCTCGGTTGCGCAGATGGTCGTCGCAATCATGCTCCGAGTACTCTTATCTAGGCGAAATGCACGACGTGATGCCGCCGCCGCGGCTATCGGGACAAATAATGAGGATGCCTCTGAAGTTGATGGTGCTGACCTGACTGATTTCGAGGTAAGTTTCAGTTGAAACTACATTGTGACGAGGCACTAACGTTTTGTAGAACCCTCATTTTCGCTACGTGCTGTAAATTCCCAGACGAGAATTGATAAGCGGTTGACTGTCGTTTCCAGACAAAAAAAATTACATAGGCTGGTGAAGAAGGAAAGCTCAAGACTTTGACCCTAAGCGATGAAAATGCTTAGGTAAATGTAGCCTAAGCTTAGGGGACTCTTTACTGAGTTTATTTTACACCTTAAGTTATATTAATGTCTGATGTTTTTTTGCTCCCTGAGGATAGGGTAGCTATGTGGTCTTATCGATAGCATGGTTGACTGGTCTTGGAGACATCAATGACATCACTGATAACACAATCCCTTATCCCTTATCTGTTGTCGCTTATCACCATTTGGAAGAAATCTGCCATTCAGCCCAACAAGGCGCAGTTAGCGCACGGAGATGGAATTAATTGCCACCGATGTGTCGATCGGAGCGCTCCATGAGGCCGAAAGGAGTTAGCCAGATGACGGATCGGTGGGTCTTCACCTGTTTCGATGTTACGCTGATGCGCGAACATTCATGCTCACATTCCGCCAAGATTTATATATAAGTGCCTAAGATCCTACGAGGACTTCTGTGTCAGTCCGAATCCATTCATTCACAATAAACATAACCTTCTTGTATAATAGACTCAAGCCAAAATGAGCAACCCCTGCGACCATCTCTCAGCAAACGACAACATGAAGCCATCCAACACTGTCTTTGAAGTTGACTTCAAGTGGAAGAAGATGAAGGCTTTAGTCTCAGAGAAAGACCCTGAAACAAACAACACAACACCCATGTACATCGTCGACTATCATGCCTTCAAATGCACCTCCCTCGTCTTCCATCCCTACGACGACCCTACGGCTGTAATCGGTACTGGTACACTTCACCCGGTCACAATCCACGCAACCTACGAGCTCCACGGCCAAAAAGGCACTATCAAAGCACTAAAGCGCTTCATGACATCATACACCCACCTGTCATACAACTACTCTAGCAGTCCTGACGGAACACCTGCTGCCATGACATGGGCCAGCGCTAGCAGCTTCAAGACATGGGACTTTGTCTGCCTCGACGAGCAAGAGTCTGCAGTAGCAAAGTTTTCTGCCAACTGCTGGTCTCTCAATAACGTCGGATGTGTCGAGTTTCTAGGGCCCAAGGCTAATGACCCTGCCGCAAGGGAAGAGATCTTGGTTACTGGTATGACATTGTTTTATCAGATGGTCCTTCGTGCGACCAACATTTTATCTCTTGGTGGTGCTATTTTCGCAAGACCTGGGCCGTTGGACAAGGAGGCTGCGCCCAAGAGACCAATGCAAAATGCAGATGGCAAGAGTATCAAGGAATTAGAAGCGACTTCAAGGGTAGAAACGGGGCTTGAGAAATCATAGTGCTTATCTTTACAAAATATTCCTTTGTGTAATTTAATTTTCACTTCAAGTTAGCAGCTCAGAATACCCAGTTGTAAAGATAATTAGACCCGAATACCCTCCGTGAACCCTGTCCCTACCTACTTGGAAGCCTTGTATACAGCACCGAATATGGCAAGTAAGTGAACATTGGGGCATTCTTATTTTAATAAGCATTTTTAATTTTAGTCAATAGAGCCTATAGCAGATAGCTTATATTATAAGCCTTACATACTTGTTTATAAACTTTTATGCCTATCTATCTATATTTAACCTTAGCCGCGCTACCATTAAAGCAGGCTTAGTCTCAGGGCTGGAGCTGGAGCTGGTGTTCATAGTAAGCCCTCAAATTATCATCCCAGCTTCCGAACGTCGAAGGATACTGTCTGACATTAAATTCCCTTCCCTCTAGATCTACTTCCCAGTCCAGTGTTTTCCAGTCAAGACGTTCTTGGATAATACTTGCGACATCAGGAGTAAGGCCGGGATAGAAGTTGGTGCGGATGAGCGGGATGCTGTGAGTACTTTCTGAAGTAGAGTGATGATCGGTCAAGTACTCGAGTGCTTTTGAGAGCTCGCCACGGAGCCAATGGCGGTAGGGAGGTGCACCATCGAATTGATGAGGACGCATTCGAAACAGATCTTTACTGGCGTGCATCAAAGGACCATGGCGAAGGAGGATATTCTGGAAGATATCAGAAAATAGGCCTTATCGGGTTCTCTATCCAAGCAAAGTGTGAATGAGTTAGGTGGCATTCCGGCGTCTGGCAATGTGATCGCTTCTTGTGGCCAGGCAAAAACATCTCTAACTGCACAATTAGCATCAAGGGAATCCGCACCACCATTCTCTGAACAAAGGACTCTACCAAGACCCGAGTATCCAAAATGTCTCGACCAGGGGTGGAAAGCGGCAGGGATGCGGCGGGGTAGCTTGAGGTGGCGTTGTATTCGTAGCCTTGGATTGTCTTTGCAGAATTCGACGAGACCCATGGCATGAGTTGAAGGAGAGCAGACAGCATATGCATCCTCGATGATGGTGACACATCGCAGATTCCGCCTCTGGTCAACTGAAAGTCGACGAAAGAATCTGATTGCAATGGCGGCAGCAGAAAAACGATATTTTGAACGAAGCCCGTTACACCAATCCTCAGCGCACCGCCACTTGGCATCATCCCGCAATAGCCTTCCAACCCTTGTGAGAACGGCTTTGGAAGAGATATCCCAGGGATCCAAGTTTATATCAAGAAGATCTTGCGGATCGTTGGAGCCTTTCCAGCCAGGAATTGGTTTGTTGAGGAGGCTAGCCAGTTCGAAATATTGACGCTCTCCTAGGAATCGGAGGCTGAATGAGATTACTTCCCTTGCCATACATGCGTTTGCACCCCAAAGCCTTAGCAGTTCATCGCCCTTGTCTCCAATTATGTCACTTACGTCAAGATGTTTATCCCTGTATTGAAAGGCATAACCACTGAGACCACCACGACTTTTGTGGAAAAAAGCCGCGGCTGCTATAGATCCTCTCTAGACGGTGCTTGAAAGCCGGCATCAAATGCGGAAACTTGTCTTGTAATTCCGATTCCAGTTCGGGAGACATTTCAGCGCCCTGGAGATGATAAATGAGATCTGCCTTGAGAAGGCAAAGAAATTGCGATAGGAACTGGTGGCGGCCAGCCCAAGCCATCCACTTAGGGGAGAAGAAGGTAGAGAAGGAGATGTTGTTGAGCGCAAAGGGCAGATGCTTGGTGTCGGTTGCAATTGAGCGGCAGGTGTACGTCAATGAAAGGTCAATTCGCTGACCGTCAGCGGTGGTGAGCTTTTCAGATTCCCTATTGAAGACATACCCTCCTTCCACGCGGAAGTAGTCCTGGAAGATCTTATCACGCACCTCGTAGGGGAGCGTGACGAGGTGGGGGCGAGCCATGTTGAATGAAGTGTATACGAACGTCGAGCCACGAAGAAAGTGTCTGGCTCAGAAAGATACATGGACTGATTGAGGGGAATGAAGTTCAAGAGAGCGGTAGAACTCAGTCTGCAGCCCCCTTCACCAAGGAAAAGCATAATATGAGCGTCAAGAGGTCAGGTAAGTGGAGGAACAACACTGGCTTTCAGAGTGCATCATCTATGTGACTTATTCTATTTGTGTTTCTGAAGGCGCACCAAGGCTTAAATCAAGGCACCAGAGGCTAAGCTTGCTGTTCTGTGGACCTGTCGCCCTTCAGTCCTACTTCTCTGCATCCTCAAAGGCAATCCTCGCCCACGTCTTGGAAAAACCTTTTTCGATACGCCACTGTTCTGACGCGTGTTTCACCGACATGGCAAAATCCTTTCTCCAGCCCCTCTCAAAGTCCCACTCTCCCATCATCTTGGCACCAAGATGCCAGGTCAAGATACTCTCTACACGAGCGCCTTCAGGAGCATGTAACAGTGCAACAGCCACGTCAATACACTCTGGACGATCGTCAACGGTGTAGAATACCGTCGCAGAGCAGCGCGAGCAGAAATATCTTTGGACATCAGGCGAACTCCGATAGATTGCGAGTGTACCGTAACGAGGATCTCGGTTGGGATTATCGACTGCACTCTTCAGATCAAGCGTATTTCGTGGAAAGCCGGATCCATCGGTCTTCCCTGGGAAATCGATCTGCTGAGGCATAACAAATGTCCAATTCATGACATCAATACCAACTGACAAGCGACATGAGGGGCATGGATCGAGTGTCGCAAGGTGTTTATGGGTCTTTGGCTCGATAAACGAAGGAATCGCGTCAGCCTCCATTGTAGAGAAGTCGACGTTGCCGGGACGGAAGACAAGGTCGACTCCTTTGCAATGACAACGGATGGGTATATCTGTGGCTGGAGGAGCATCGGATCGAGCATCTTCGCTCGCAGCTGGCCAGTCTTCGTTTAGTTCTCCACCGTCTTCAGGTTTCTCCATCCATCTGCGAGGCCTCTCCCCATCACCATTCGCATTCTTAAGCCACGGCGATACGCCCCCATCGATCGTATCACCAACAAAGATCTGCCTAGTAAAGTTGATGAAGTTATCAACGTCAACATTGTTCAAGACTCCCGTGAAAACGCCAAAGTTCTGGGGTTGATCTTCGTAGTGAGAATTCCAGAACATTGGACATGAACATGAGCCGCAGAACAAGATTTCGCAATTGGAGGTGAATTTGTAGTGTTTCAGATCAGAGCTGCGAATCTCATCTGCTGAACCAGGCCAGTCTATGTTACAGTTGTACATGGCACCAGTAGCGCTTCGGCATGAGGTGCAGTGGCATATAGACGCAGGTAGAGGGAGTTTTGATCGGGGCACTTTGGTGGTGAAGGTATGCGCTTTGCAGAGGCACTGGGCCGTGAGGATGATATCTTGGTCTTCAGTCGTCATGGTTTGTGTATTTCGAAACACTTCAAACAGGATGGTTTGTGGGAAAAGTTAAAAAGCAACTGACGAGTCTTTTGTGAAGTTGTTAACGGTAGCAGCAGTGGAGGACCGTGAAGGAATCTATTTTGTAGTACCCCGCCCCCAAGGGCGTGAATGATGACCAGAAGCGTTCTTGTCGCCCAATGACATTGTTTCTTGTCCATCTTTAGTGTGTAGCTTTAATTAGATTAGATAGTCAAACCGTTTTCCTGAGGAACACTCTTGGGCTTTGGGCTATGTGTTGTTTGCGACGCTTTATTGGCTTCTGCTGTAGAGCCCCCGCCTTATAGTCTCACGATGCTTAATCAACCGACAAATGGCTAACAAGATGCCCCCGTGACAATGCTAACTTTTCGAACGTCGTCTCGATGGAAGCTTAATTGTCTATAAAGCCACGATCATTCGCATCTGTGCTCAGTAAAAAATCTGGTTTCACAAATATTTCATCGTCAAAATGTCCGACATGACCAAATCCGCGACCTTCGACTACACCGAAGTCTCATCTGCTGCACCGCCACCATTCAGCCAGGCTGTGGCAAAGACAGTACCATCAACTTTCCAGAGTCATTTCGCATCCATCACACGCCATGGACGTGATCGCATCACATTTACAAACCTTTCTGAGGTCGAAATAGCCGATGTACACGAAACTGTGAGAATATTTTGGCCCCGCGGTATTGATAAGGTCTATCCGCAAAAGGCCTCGCGCGAATTCAAGCTAGGAGGCTATGCACGGAGATATGAGCCGAATGGCAACGAGCAAGCGATGATGTTGACGCTTCGGATTCTGGAGGGCATGCATGGCTTGGGTTGGGTGATTTACTCTCCTATCGAGGTAACCAAGAATGTCTCGACGAAAGGTGAGTACTGAGTATACGCACGATTCTCGCAAACTGGATAAGACATACTGACGAGAACAGATGCACTCATCTTCCGCAAAGCGAATCATCACCCTCCTCCCTGCGAATGGCTAAACGTGTCATTCCACGGCGGAGATAAACTAAAGATTCTCAACTTCCCGCCTCCAGATCTTGTCAACGAAATCATAGCCACTTTCACGATTGACATACAACGACATGACGTTACACCAGACCGCGCCAAGATCAAGTTCAAGGGCTATCCATGGAGACCGCGAAAGTCTGACGGAGCTGAGACCCAAGTGAAGCTGCTGGCGTTGCTCGAAATCTTTGAGCGCCACGGTTTCACGCTGTACACCAGGACTAGCGCGAGATTCACCGATGAGAGGAGTGAGTCGGATGTCTTGGTGTTCCAGAGACGAAAGGGTTAGGCGGCGGAGAAGTCTCTATACGACCAACTCTGAACCGATGCACGAATTGGCCCCTGTTTATATTTACTGCTCATGGAAACTTAATCACACGGGATGATTTATATGGTGTATAATAGTCCCTCATAATTTCATTTTTAAAACGATATCGGTGTTACATCATTCAACGAAGCGCATTTGGTCGATATATATCATGTTTATATCAAAATCAAGCAAACTCCTTGTTCCTCTTCACAGCCAAAAATGTCAAACTCCACAACTGCCTAACATTACTCTCCGTTCCAGAGCTTAGTCCTGGTGGAGGCGGCAACGTTCCCAGAGGAGCGAACTTGTAACCACTCTTCGAATTATAGCTCCAGCTCCAGACTTCTGACTGCAACCTCTCACTATTCTCCTCAATTATATCCCACAGATGATTGTATGCACTCTTCAAAGCTGTATATACCTCGGTATTGCTGCAGAACGCAGGAACATTATCGTCATCCTTGGATTGGGATGATGAACATCGTGCAAGCTGACGCTCAAGACCTTTGGCCATGAGGGCGAGTTGCCAGCTCCACACCACCGTGCCGTGATATGCGGCGTTGGTGAAGTTGGCGGTGAAGACCTTGTTGCCTGCTAGTGCTGGGTTTGCCACCACGATGCCGAGAGGGGTACTGAGTCCGGCTGGGAATGGACGAAGAATGGCGTTGGCTGTTGCATTCAAGAAGGTTGTGAGCTGAGCATCGTTGGTTGAGTTGAGAAGAAACAGGCGGAATGCCGTGTCAGTATGTGTGATGCGTATCTTCTCCTCATCCTTGGTGGTATTTATGGCCAGAGCGTAGTCAACGACTTTCCCAGAAGATGAGTAGTTAGCAACTGAATCTGCATGGGTTGATCCATCGTAGAAGGTGTTTTCTTTCACATAGTCCTTTAAATTTGATGTAGCCGTCTCAACAGTGAGATTATACTGGAACAGCGGCAAGGTATTGTCCTCCCAGATCTTAGCCCTCTTCGCCGCACTAGAACCCCAGCTCCTGGTCACAGAATTATTGGGATACACTCCTTCAACCTTGGCAAGATTGGAAATAGCGTAGAGTGCCGCAGGAACGAGAGCACAGTTCACGTCAAAGGGTATCCGCCCATTGGCAAGACCATATGTGGAGTCTCGCCATTGACCGACAAGCTCACCCTTCTTGAGCTGGATCAAGTTCTTGAGTGACTGTTCTTTCTCAAAGTCTGCTGTGATATTAATGATCTTCTGTGCGTTGATGTAGCTCAAATTGCCCCATGTCAGATTCCGGTTCTCGACATCAACGTCGCCTGCCTTTGTGCTCAGCAGTGCTTTGACTCGCCTTGGTGTAGAGCTGAAATATCGATCCATGAGGATTGGTAAGAAGTAGTCCGTATCAATCATGGGATATGTAAAGCCCGGTGCTGTCGAATCAATGCCGTTCTGCAAGTTAAGAAGCGTCGCGTAGTCGCCGATGGTCTCTTCATGGCAGACTGATCCGTCCGTGCGGTTGATCCGTTCCAACACTGCACCGATCACTGCTTCCAGAGCTGAGCTATTCCCCGCACTGAGGACGGGCTCGAGTAAGAGCGCGGAGATCATAGTGTCGCGACCAAAGTACGTCAAGAAACGCCAGCCACCTGCGAGCAGCTTGTCGGTATACGAGAAGAAGGACAACGACCTGACCTCCGACTGTTCTTTCTTGGCGAGTGATTGTGACTGGTTGTTGAGAACCTGTTGGGGAGATAGCTGTTTCAGTTGGGGATAATTGAATGATGCCGAGAACTTATAGAAGCCTGCTCCAAAACTAACAGTGTCGTTATAAATTGACAGGCTGATATCCTTGTTCTGCCATGGCTCCAGCAACAGGTTCGTCGTCGTCACATTGTCCAACCATAATCTCGATATAAGGACACCGCCATTATTCACTCTCGTGACGTTTGTAGCATTTTGAATCACTGGATTAATGATACTCGGCCCTTCTGTAAAATCCCTTATGTTCCGGATCGAACCCAGAATGGAAACCGTGAGATTCGCCGACGAGTTGAACGACAAAACGCCCTCCACCCCAACATAAGGATAGTCTGAATCCTTTTCTTCGCGATTGACCACACCAAGTGGCGATCCGAGAGTCGAATTGACCAACTCAATAGCTAGAGTTCCATTCTTCTCGTCTTGAGGTTGGAAGAAAGTGCATATACCGCTGTTTCCCGCAGGCCACGCAACAATGAGTCGAGGTCCGATGATGGACAAGTTACTATCCGGAAGAGGACTTGTCACAACGACTTGGGCGTCGGTATTGCAGTCAGAGTAGAAGTAGTTCTCATAAGGTGGATCACTGAGCTGTTGGGTGATGACTGGGCACGAATCGCCCAGCGCCAACGTGGCATAGAAGACAGCCAGGAGGACTGCGATGAAAGGCGTCATTTTTCCGGGTAAGCAGAATAAGACTTCAATTAAAGACTCAAATGCCTGAAGGTCACGCTGGGTGGCCATGTTATGCTTATAAATTACTCAAGATCGACACGACAGACTGCGGGGTTGAGCTGGGGAATCGAAGCTAGCAAAACAAGAAATGGAAGCCGTTGGCACCAATTCGAGTTACTGGGTCCTTTAAGTTTGGGGAAGCTGGAAACGATGACGACAACGTATGGTAATACGCGGATTCTAAACCCCATTCGCGATGTACTTCCTGTTAGTTCGCCGGAGACGACTGAGATGCATATTCTGCCCTCATGCTACATAGGAGAGTTGCATCATTCGGGTTGAGAAGACAACCCTGGGATCATCACTTATTCCCAACTTTGTCGAACCATATCAAGTCCCTAATAAGCGGTTCTAGATCCATGCCCATCCTGACGACCTTGTCGTCCTCGATTGTGAACTCGGTCATCAGAACTTCATCACCCGTATCAAAAGCGTCTCGAACATGCGCATCGTACAGAGACTGATCTCGCCTGTGCTTTAGTCTGGCAGTGAATCCCATTGAGCGGTCTGTCGCATCGATGAACAACTCATTCTCTCTCATCTCCACTCGCATGTTGTGATACCCAGGATTCCAATAGTCGCCGGTATAAGCTCCGAGAGCCATAGTTCTTTGTGACACGACTTTTACCTCAGGACTATCTCTTTTCTGGTCCTTACCCTTCACACCCTTCGCCTTGGCCATTCCAGTTGGGTGATCTTGTGAATCCGACTTTGGATGCATGCGCACCTCTGGCAGCTTCATAGGCACATCTCTACCAGCGACCGCCTTCAATTGCTGTCGAGCCATGTCGGAGTTGACGACTTCTGTGATAAACTCACGAAACAGCTGTGCAGCTACCGAGTTGGTTCCCGAGGAGTTGCCCATCACGACAGCACCAAACTTGAGATCTGGCAGAAATACAAAACGACTGCCAAAGCCTGTGATATCGCCGCTATGCCCAAGCACTGCATGTTCGCCTTGCCAGTATAGATCCATGCCCGCTGTGTAGAATATGCGGTCAATGCCGACCGTTCTTTGACGATGGTTGGCACTTCGTTCAGATCGCGGCCGAGTCAATCCTTGGTATACATCCTCAGTTATGGGATCGTTGCGATCGATAAGGGCGCTGAGAAACTTGATGAAATCGTTGGCGCTGGAGATCACTGACCCCGCGCCTTGGCCTTCTGGACAATCTACCGCGTCGAACTCGCGATATGATGCGGACTTCTTGTCCCAGATATGCCCTTTTGCGAGTCGATGGTCGTGACCTCTAGCCCTGGCGCTTTTGGGCTGTAGACTGCTCGATGTCATGCCAAGACGGTCGAAAATGCGCTCTTGTAGGAATGTATCAAACTGCTGTCCGCTCTTGGTTTCTATGAGATGCGTCAAGACAGTGTACATCATGTTGCAGTAGATGTAGCGCGTCCGCGGCGGCGCAGTGACAGCGAGATTTCGCAAATTTCGCGTGATTGATCGCGCATCATCAGGCTCTGTAGCACGGATTCCCATGTATGAATCATCGTGTCTACAACCCCGTTAGCCCAGTCCATTAAGCGCAAGTGGTTCTTACCCAGGCATGCCAGTGTGATGCCCCAAGAGATCATCTACAGTAACGGTCTTGGTGTGCAATTCGTCTGACATGACAAAGTCGTCGGGCAGCAGTTCAGACATTAGTGAGTCATATTGAACTCCTGAATACTTGGCATCTTCGACTAAAAGGGCAATTGCTGCGGCAGTGAGTGATTTGGAGGAAGATGCGATGTCGAAGAGCGTATCTGCAGTGCATGGTTCTTGAGACTTGACCGAGGCGAAGCCATAGCCTGTGGACTTGGCCTGGTCACCCCGGACAATAGCGATAGACAGGCCAGGAACACGATTGCTTTGCATCAGTGTCTCGACACGATGGCTGAACCTTGGGGAGTCGAACAGGTCCATGTTTTATTGCTTTGGGGGAAAGTTTACAATGTTTCTCGTACGAGTAGCTGAAGCGTAAGCATTGATGCCTCGGCTCTTTTAGCGTTGCTGACAGTGCCAGGAATGCTGAAACCAATGTAACTAAAAACCGATCTTGAGAGCTAGAGTAAAAGTATAGAGAAAGAGAGCAAGCTATGATGTTGGGTATTCAGAAAAAGCTCTTGACCGCATTCTCCCCCAATTCCTGTCCAAATCCCCTCGGATCCTGAAAGAAATTGCTAATCGCTTCTACGTGATCCTGTGCGTCCTTCTGCGCGTGCTCATTCGGACCCGCCATCCACTCACGAAGGTTCTCCACTCCCCCATCCGCGATCTTGTTGCCGACAGCGTCAGCAACGATAGCGGCCCCAACCCGTAAAGGTAAGGGTATGCCTAGCAGGAGGATTTTTGCCTCGATTGCGGTAGTAGCAGCTCCGACGCCCTCCTTGTATCCCTGAAATAGACTTTCCTTGGCAAGTTCGGTGATATACTGATCCAGAGTGTACGTTCCCAGTTGCCTCATGACTTCTAGCGACATGCCTGGCAGCGGAGCTTGTGCCTTCTGTTCCATTACTGCGGTGTATTCCTTCAGATTGTTCCATTGCTCGTGCTCATTTACGATTTTGACGTCGTCTCTGAGAGCCGGAGATGAGTCTCGAGGCGGCTTGAAAAACTCTGATGGCCAGGATCGCTGGTAGGGCTGAACCCCTGGACCCATTTTCGTGATTTCGTTCATTCTCATCACGTTCTTGAACATTGGCACTGCGGCTATCTGCATTGCCTTGAACAAGCCCGTCGTTCCGGTGGGATCGATGTAGTTCACCGGATCATCGCCGCAGTAGCAGTACAAGTTTAGGCCATCCTTGGTTCCCATAGGATCTGGCGATATCCAGCGCCCAAGCCATGGGGCATAGTACCGTGCGTTGCAGTAGTAGAGGCCGGTCTCTTTATCTCTCTCATAACCAGCAAATCTGTACTTGCGGGATGCCTCTTGCTTGGATCGCCTGAGGGAAAAAGAATTGGACCCAAACGGGGAATGCTCCTCATAAGTTATGACAAGTCCCGACTGGTCCAACTCCAGCTTGTCAGACATGCGATATCTCACTAGAAGAGGCGATTCTGAAGATAAGGATTTGTCCTCTTCCGCAATGGCCACCAGTTTCTGCTCGGCACTATTGATCAAATGGTACCTTTTATCCTTGCTGTGGCCAGATCCATCGCCAGTCTTGCACTTGTATATGTGCAGATTGGAAAAGAAAAATGTTTCTTTGAGCTTTCTCGCATCGCCTGAGCCAGAAGATGACCGCTCGGTCACCTTCCGTACCCTCCTCCCTTCACTGTTGTACGCATACCATGTGGTCTCTGGCGTGCCACTCTTCATGATCTGCCTTGAGCAAGACTTGAGCCGATTGAAAGGATCCCAGGACATGGAATGCATCCCGCCACCGGCATTGACACTGCCAGCGAAGCCTGTGTTGACTCCATCGCCGTAGGTCCATTTCTCTGTTTAACCACTCTTTGAAGTGCAACTGAGCCTATTTCCCAGTTCGCCTTCCTTGACCAAACTTCCTTCCTCGTAAGTATAACTCCGCAACCAAATCTGTCCTTTCGGCCCTGCGTGGTGTTTCACCCGAGTAATGTTATTCGCATCATCATACTCGTACTCTTCTGTGTATCTGCAGATGCGGCTTATATCGCTAGGGATCCCGACAGATGACTTCCTTCGGGCATTAGCATTAGCATCTTCACGGCCTTGGGCCGATGAGAGACGGCCAATAGTGTCATAAGTGTAACAGCATCTTGCGTCAACGACAGTGTTGTTGAAGTACGACACTGGCTGGGCGGCATCCGAGGACTGGATCACCCGATGCATAACATCATGTGAATATTGTGTGTCTTCCATGATTCTCCTGTCACTTTGGCGGATGAGCCTCTTGCGAATCATCAATCTGGTCGCCGAGTCATATTGAAAGGTCGCCAGAACACCGTTCCCATACAGGATCTGCTCCGGTTGCCCATCAGTCGTGTACCGCATGTCACTCATGTAATCTCCCCAGTGGTCATCTCCCTGCCGTCCGCTTCTGTATGAGACTCGCTTGAGCTGTCCACAAATCCCATAACTATGCCTCGTGATTGCACCTTCGGCATCATGTGACTTGACCACTCTGTCCATGGCATCATAAGCCTTTCGAATTGTGTAAATCTCGGGGTCCAGCTTGGTGTTGCTCTCAGCTCTCCAGTCGATCGATCCTATGTAGTCAGTCGTGAACTGGGTAGTTGACTCAACGCAGTTTCCTTTGAAGTCAAATGCCTTGTTCTTCTGGATCCCCGACTGATCACGGATTCCAACCACCTTTCCACGCAAGTTCAAGGACTCAGCATTTGCCACAGTCTCCCCATAGTGTCTCGATTCTGCGAGGAACTCGGTTCCACCTTGTTGCGAGAGCCAGAGCTGGGTGTTTCTGCCTGCAGCATCGTATACCGACCGTTGCTTCCAGTGACGGCCATCTACCAAAATCGTAGTGCGGTCCATGCAGTCGAGAAACGTGAATACCGAGCCCGTGTCCATCCCTCGACGCACTATGTCACGGCCTAGCAAGTCAGTGGTGACGCTTTCAGCAAGACGACCTCTACCATCTATTGTTTGAGCCAAATGTCCTGCAAGACTGTATAGACTACGTGTCTTTATCTTGGCTGTTTTGCAATCTGTGACTTTGATAGCTGGACGCTCCTGTGCATCCAGATACGTTTCATCGGGTGTCTCACTGTAAATCTCCGAACCTTTTGCTGCAGCCCTGCGTGAAAGGTCTTGGGTCAAAGCCGCAGCGTGCCAGCTGGGGCTATAGTTCTCTTTTGCGAGAGCGTTGGTATAGATACTGAGATCTTTGTCCTCAAAAAGGTCCATCAAGACTGTATCACCTCTGTCGTGTTCTGTAGTTGTCCAAGTCTCGTACCTCACTTTCGAGTATGCGTGGTCAGGATACAATGTGCCAACTAGTCTGCCCAGGGGATCATAGATCATGGTGGTTACTTCCGACTGGCTCTCAGAAGCATGAATGAACCCATGCGTACTGGAAAAGCACGGCTGAAAAGTGCGGACTGGGTCTCCTTTACTATTTCGTAAAGTCCATTCACTAATGTTCCACTCGCATCCATTTGCCCCTGTGTCAGTCAAGATGGTCGTTTGCAGCTCAGCGAGATTGCCATCCAGGTAGGTAATCGATATGGAAATATCACTAGCACTGGCTCCATCCGCATGATGGGACATTCGACTGAAGTCGATAAAGGCACTCGGGCGGGTATCCGAATGGTCGCTTTGGGCGTCATAGTACAGGCGGCAGCTAGTGGCACCACCTATAAGTTTGAAAGCAGTCTCTTGCATAGGACATGCAAAGAAAGCATCTTTATCAGCTTGTGAGAGTAGCTGGACTGTCGTGCTGAGATTGTCACCAACCAGTTCGTTCTCTTTCCCGGATCGGGCTGTTGCCATGACTCGACCCAATTGGTCGTGGCTGTAGGTGGTTCGATTTCTGTTTGGATCAACGACACACAATGGAGACATGTATCTGTAATCCATATCCACCTTGGTGGCGTTTCCCACTGCATCAGTAGAAAGCTTTGGCAGCAGGTTGTAATCGTCCATCTGAACTGTACTACGATTGCCAAAGGCATCCTGGGTGACCGTCGGTGTGTAAAAGGACCTTCTGGCCGTGGCGAGTTCATTTTTTGCGTCAGGACCAAAGAGAGTACGCGAAGAAGGCCGCCACCAAAGTGTTGTGCCGTCTTCCTCCGTCGTCCTGGTGTACCCATATGTAGTCATAAAACTATCCAAGTTCGAACTCTCGGGTAAATAGTGCTTGAGCAGTTCTTGAAACCAACTGTCTCCTCCAGCCAGGTCAAGTATACCATATATCACCGAGTAGCCCTGAAATTGCCCCAGAGGTAAGGGCTCTTCTTGAGAGAAATCCTGATTGCGGTATAATGTCCGTTTCTCTTCGACCTTTACACGGGCTTCTGAAGAATATGGAGGTAGCATCTGATCTTTGTATGGGACTTCGGGAATGCTCTCCAGTACCTGGAAGCTGCCACTCGTAAACCTGGTGAAAGCCGATTGTATTTCATCACTTGAACAGTCTAGACCAACAATGCGATACTTACGAGTCGATGACGGCATTGGCTTCACAAAGACCCCATTACCATTGTCGAGGACAGGGAGGCAATATTCGTTCTCTGTGTAGGTCAAGATAGTTTCCTTTTGGGAGAAATCCATGACCTTTCCTCTTGAGCGCCCATAGAAGATCTCCATTGACTTCAATTTATCATTGTAGCTGTTAGTCTCCAAGATGAGTTCGTGATTGTAGCGTGGCAGCGACTCTCGTGACCGATCATTGTGAGTCTTGAGTATTTCACGTGGCACGCAACGATACGTGCCCGGCTGCAGTGGACCTTTTCTAGGCGAAAGCTGGACCACTTGGTGAGCAGTATCGGTAACTTGGTAGGCATGTTCTGCAAGTTCAGTTCCATCGTCGCCAAGGATTTCTTCGCGAAGCTGCGTTCCTTTGAGAGCCCGGCAGAAGTCACGCCGATCGTCGAGATTAACTGACTCTATGGACCAGTAAGGTCCAAATAGAGCTTCAGAAGATGCTCGATGTAGACAGCTACTGACTGGTGTCATCGCTCCTGTATGAAACCAGGTTTTGGTGAGGGTAGCTGGTTGGTGGAATTCCGATCGAGTATTGACGTTGAAAACAACAGATTCGAGTTGTTCGACCATCCCAAAGCCTCTAAACTCTCTATCAAGAACATCGTAGTAACCATCATGATAAGTGAAGCGCTTGGTGTTCTGAAGTCCAGTCGTATCGTCCAAGATCCTGAGTTGGCTCACGCACTGAACGGGAAACCCTATCTTTGTACACCATGAGGCACCAGCTCGCTCATCTTGCAGATAATACCAGTTGGAAGACTTGTACGAGACTTCTACTCGTGATCCTCTCCCATTTCGGTATGAAGCTAGGCAGTTGGGCTTCGGTCCAGGTGCAAGATCGACATAGTAGAGAGTCTGCGCTGAAGTTGACCCAGATATTTTGCCGTTCCAACATAAACATGCTGTCCCTTTACCAAATAAGTCCACCGTAGAAACGTTACTAAGCTGGTTTACTGGTGGAAAAGACTCAAGGATCTGCGGCTCACTCCAGCCGTTTCCTGCTTGGTTGAAGTAAACGTGCAGACCCCCACTGCTAGGCAGGTAGATCAGGTCGTTAGTACCTGAGCCGTTGATGTCAACAAGGCGTATTCTTTCGGCAATTGGTATATCACACCCCAGACTTGGGGCATTATACATGCAGACCGGCTCGCTGAAGTGCCCATGTGATAGATTCTGCCAGTATGTGACATAGCCTGAAGAGACTTGTACGATATCTGACCGACCGTCACCTGTCATATCAGCAAAAGTGACCTGTACTCCAGGGTCGTCAGAAGTCAGCTGTGGAACACCCGTCCTGTTTTCGGATCGTCTCAATGGAGCAAATCCAGCAGTGCCCAAGTTTTCTTGCCACATAATCTCCCTGCTCACCGGATCAACTGCCACGAGATCCGCAAGTCCATCACCTGTGAGATCCAGTTGCTTGAAGGATACTGTTGTGGTGTCTCGATTTGGAATCGATGAGAAGGTAGTGTAACCGACCCATCCCTCACCAAACTGGCTGTAGAAGCCTTCTAACCTGTTGACGTCGTCTAAACAGACTAGTTCAAGGTTTCCGTCTTGATTCAAGTCCTCAAAATAGGCCGATTTACCCAAGTTTCGATTCGGTCGGGTATGTATGGTCATAGATGTACCGAACGTCGGGGCTGATGAATCATCTGTGATATTGTAATTCTTTGGGAAGTTCCAAGAGCCGTCGGTACATTGTTCAAGTAGACCAGGCGCCCCCTCTCCTAGCAGATCCACCCATTGCCACTCATTCCCATCTAGACCTGGTAAATTTGGCAAGTTATCGGTATCCATGTGTTCAACTTTGACACTGGGGACATCGATCGGCATGTTATACTGAAATGTGTATGGCGGCAGCGCTTGATTTTGCATCGTCTTTGTTTCATGATTGAACCAATGCCCCTGTTCTGTAAGTGAAGATAAGAGGGAGGCCACGGATGACACTTGATACTGCATCGAAACGGAACGCACTAGACAATGCTTGTCTGAAAGATCCTCCGGGAAGTAATGGAACATGAGAATGCGACGACACAGCCGCAGCCAGCGTACTTCAAATCCTGCTGAAGATGTTGAAAATCGGTCTTGTCTGACCAACCAGGGTGAATTTGCCTTAACATTGGGGTTGTCGATATCATGATCTCCATAGTCCAGAACCACCTGGAAGTGGTATTGCCCATCATATTTAAATGGCTTCCAATCATCAAGACCTCGATTAGGAATTGTATTGCCATATCTAATCGCCTTCAAGTACCTTGCACGCCCAGATGTGTCTATCAATCGGTTCTGTTCCTGCAATCGCGCCGCAGATGACAAGGTTTCTAGACCATGCGTATCTTCCTCCTTGTATTCGTAGGTGATTAAATTCCCGAAGGAGTCGTATGAACTGCACAGAAGCCACGAGAAAATACACGTGTGATTAGACCGATCCTTATACGAGATTCGTGTTTGGCTTGACTGGCCATAAATGCAAGTCACATTGGAGCCTGAAATCGTCCTCCAATGGACATCAGAAGGATCTAGCAATCGGCTCCATTGTTCGATCTTCAGAGGATCTCCCATGACTCGAGGTTGATAGGACTGAACGGAGAAGTCATTGCCAATGCGTACAGGGTCCCCTATACGGACCAACTCATCCTCGCTGCTCAGCAGGAAAGTGTCGGTCCCATCGTACATAGGAGTACGTTTAGAAGTCATGCGTGTGATGGAACTCAAGTTCATTTGCCAGCCAATTCCGAAGCAGCCATTTCCCAAGCCCGAATTATACGACAACTCCAGCTTCGGTCCAAATCCGCCACGTCCCTCAGTGACTGGGATTGGTATGGCCAAAGACATTGTACCGTTGACTGGATTCATCTTGAAAGTTTGATCAATCGGCCGATGACTGCCTCCCGCGATGCCTTTCTGAAGGCTTGGGGTTGAAATGACCGCCGGAAGTCTCTGGCCTGTCGGTGTCGCCTGTTGGTTTGCTCCGTACGAGGTCTTGCCTGCCGACACGACCGCTGAAGCCGAGGACGGGCTTTCCATTTAGCTGCTGGTATTAGGTGCTACAGCGTCGCTCGGATGATATCTGGGTTTGCGGTTCATCTTGTCAGACACGACTATGGTCCAAGATCTCCAATTGCTGTCTCAGAATCTCAACTTTTGCTACTTCTTTGTCGCCCGTGGAGTGTTCCAGGAGATAACGCCAGAGGCTACTTTGAGCGCTGTATAACCTATAAGATCTCTAAGCATATACTTGACAGCCGAAAGTAAGAAGATTCCTACACTCTATCTATTTTTGCTCACAGTATGAAAACCTTTCTTTCGTAATCACAATCGGTTCCTCAAGTTCAGCCCGAGAACAATATAGAGGTTGGAAATGCCGGTGGTCCGACAGTACGGGTGCCGAACCTCTGTGTTGCATGGGAGGGCAAAGTAGCGAAGGTCAAGGCGGCGGCGATAAGCTATGATGGAATCAGCCAATATCCTTTCAAAATCGGCTCAAAACACCCCAAAGAGTATTTCATCTGCTGCAGGCGAAACTCTTGTTGCACCAAGTTTCCTTATTGAGAACATCATCTGATTGTCTAATGCAACAGACCCTTGTTTTTATTGGCAATGTGCATAATACGACTACTCACATCCGTTCGGACATATTCGTAGCGAGTCTGACGTGGCAAAGGTTCTAGTTAGGCTCTAGGTTTGGCCCAAATCCGCTAGTGTCTACCTCGATTTTAGTTCCATGCATGATACACGAACTTAGTAGCGGAGTCGGGTGAAGACTCGGATACCCGACGATCGTATTAGAGCCGGCTATGAATTTGACAACAGACTATCATCACTAGCTACTGAAGAGGAAGCGAAATGTATGGCGCAAGTGTACAATCAATTCTATATCGTCTAGTGTCAGACTGCAGGTTTCTCTTTTTCCATTCTGTAAACCTGTGATAGAAAGGGCCAGTTTGCATAAACTTGTTGCAATTCGATCTTGCTTGAAATAGAAGCAGCATAATAAGCACCACATTAATACGGTATATCAATTACTTGCTAGCTAGTATTGTGCCCTATAAAGTATGTAGATAGAATTGCTGGGTAGGTCCATTATGAGATTTCCAGCTGACGAACGGTGTTTTGTGGACAGGGTTGTTTACTTCAAGATCGAGGAATAATGATGGATATAGCACAGATCGGAATCTAAGAATCACAGATCAGTACGTCCTTGGGATGCTGGCCATAATTATCATACTTAACAGGGATTGTGTCGTTTGGTTTCTTGACATCAGCCCCCTCGAGATACCAATGAAACTTCACGTCGTATTCATCGCCATGGTCAGTTTCGACATATTGTTCGTTACCTAGAAATAGTCAGGGAGGGGTCAATAGAGAGAGGAGAATGTTTCCACTTGCCATTACTCATTATGTATCGCCTAGAGTGAGGGTTCCAGAGAACAACTATAGTGCTCTGCTCAAGGGGATACGACCATATCTCCCACTTTATATTTTCGTTTTGCTGGCGATTTTCAATACTCCTGCATCGGTTAGCCAAGGAACATGGCGAACAGATCCTGACAAGAATGTCAACTAACGCTGACTGTGCCCAAACTACTAGGGATGAGCCACCTCCTTCCTTAATATCGGCGACTAAGAATGTGTCACCTTGCTTATATGCGATGTTACAGATGAACCTGTAAATCCATTCCTTCCTCGGCATAGTGCTACTGGTAGTCATGCTGGAGTAATGTATTGCAGTGTTAGGAACGGTGTAGGCAGAAATAGCTGGCGATGGATAACTACTCCAATATCCCTTGTGCAGAATCTGTGTGTAGGACTGGGTTTTGATATTTTCGAAGGGGCCTTATCTTTACAATGGAGAAGATGGCCAGTTTCGGCCTGGTTGAGACAGCACCATGAGTCAGCTCTCTTTAACCTCACACTCCACTACGCCATGCCACCCTGGTCAAGGGAACTTGGCGGCTAATACCGAGCCCGAGATGTTGATATCAGCTACTTTCTTGTCGTATCATATTTGCTAGCCTGCATAATATTGACACTCTGCATCTTTTTGGGGCATGGCCTGATATGTGAAGCTAAGCTAGGTCTAATTTGGTCCCCTTCCGTGCTGGGTTCAGTGAATTGGAACGCGCGTCTCGCCTGTGCGTTAGCTCCTTTTGGAACGCTTACCTACAAACAGCCGTGTAACCTCCGCTTTTCCGTCTCTATTGAGATATATGCATGAATAGTTTATGTGTCTTTTCAATATTTTGACTCAGACTCTGGCACATAGTTCACGCAATTGTATGAAGTAGTTGTACAAGCATGGGTGTAGGATGGCAGATGCCGGCCTGTTTAGCAAGAAGAATCTCGTGGGGCGCCTAACTTGATATTGCAGGATTACCCTTATGGGGATTTTGCAGTCAGCCACAACCGTTGGGGTCACTTTTAGGAGGGGCCGAGAGGTTAGACTACGGGTAAAGTATACGATACATGAGCAATTTTTTAGCGAACCATAACATAGCCAGTTAACTAGATTGAGGCCTGTGTTATGCCTACTCCGAAAGGCTCAATCCAACGTCTCAGTCACCAAATCTCACGTTGTGAATGATCATGCCTAGCCCAGAATTAATCTATAGAGGATTTGAAAACTGAATCGAAAAGGGACAGGGCATGTAGCAATATCAATATATAGTAAACCATCACTTGCGTTGCCTTAATTCACAAGGCCTCCGGGTCATTGACATAAAGAAAGGAATTGATAATTTTCTGGATTTGAAGTCGCTTTCGACGTGCGAGCCAGGTCAAAGTCATGGCTGAATGTAGATGTCCTTGTAGCTTATCGCAGTCCCTTCTCCCCCAAACTTCATACCTGGAACTTTCTTCCAAGATTCGGCGATTTTAATCTTGTATCGTCCCAGTTCCTGGATGTCACCCTGCAGCACAAGACTGAGTTCCTGGTCCCTTGGCACTTTAAAATCAGTACCCTTTAGACCATGGACAGAAGTCTGCATCTCTCCAGCTGATCTCTCAGTCTTAATTGTGACTTCAAGAGGAGGCAAGTTGGTGGGCCACCCTGTTCCTTTACTAAGTTTGTAAACGTTGCCCTGTAGCTGAGTCTCCGACAACGACTCTCCAGAATGACGCTCATTTGGGGCAGAATATAAATATTCACCATGTGAAAAGAGTATATCTAGTGCCTTGTCATCGGGCGAGCGATTCCAATCAGTATCATCAAATGGGCGTGTCTTGGTAGAAGCCGATGTCAGTAAGCTGATGCGAATAAAATGGAAGCTTAAATCTTCTTTCTTGTTGTTTTGGGCACTCAATGACAGTCGAGAAATGTTTGTTGCTTGGTTATAGGACACTTTCAAATCCCAATTGAGCTTAAGCGAGTTCTCGTCTTTCGGCCCAGGAACACCCGTTGGTGTTTTTGGTCGACCCAATCGTTCATCACCCGAGTCAGGGTTTTCATGAGAGTTGGGAAACGAGATTACCCCATCAGGCGCCGTTGACCTATCATTGGCTGTCAGAAAAGGATATATGTCCATCTGCCGTTTGTATAAACAACAGAAAAGAGATCTCGACTAGACACTTACTTGAAATCGAAGTCTGCCACGATACCACCGAGCTTGGTGAATCTAGGGTTCTTCATCTGCAGATTTCCATACCCAGGAAGCACTAAATGCCCTCTGCTATTAAAATGATCATTAATTCGTTGAGTGAACCTAGCCATGGCTGCCCTCAGTGACGTCTCGAGATCTCGCATCAAGACAGAACTACTGCCATCGGCCCCTTGACCTGTGGCTGTTGAACTATTGATAGACTCTGACACGTTAAGGCCGCCATCGGAGACAGTGTTGAGTTCATCTGGACTAGTAATGGAGCCGTCCTTTATCTTTTCAAAGTCTGTTCTGCTGATGCCCTTGACCTTGGGTATTATGGCAGAATTAGAAAGTTGTAGTTCCAGGCTGAAGGCCGACTTAGCATTGACCCTATACCTGCAAAGTCAGTTAGCCAAGGTTCACAGGTCCGCAAAGGTCTGTTTCATACTTCACACTATCCACATGTCCGGTCATGTCCTTGTTATCCGCGAAAGTACAATCGTACTTATATAAGATGGAAGCTGAGATAGCCATGGCAGACCCTCCAGGAGACCACTGGACCTCGACTGCAGATTTAGTATCGATTTGATAAGAGTTATACCTATCTCGGAGAATACTGTATGGACCATCTGTGAAAAGATGTCCGTTCTCCCCCTTCTTGTCATCATATCCCCATCGATAATTGCAGTCTGATATCTTCGTACACTCGATGCCACCATGAGGTGAGCTATTCAATTGCCGCTCGGGAGGTGGAGAGCCGATGGTATACCGTGGTTGGAATGATATCTCAGGTGCTGCTATCTTGCGCTCGGGATTGTCTATCTTGACCACAGTGGCGCGACACAGATCCTCAAGCGTAGGGAGTAGATAGCGGTTCATAACGACCCTATAATCCATAGCAAAGGTGCCTAACGAATCCGGAACCTTCAGACTATCTTCGGACACGGGAAATGCCAGATTGCATGAGTGACCCATTTTCTTTACTTGGGGAAGGGGACGGATTATGGGATTAATAGACCTTCCGGGTATGTCCCAGCTCGTATCCACGTTTTCACAAAACATCAAGCAGTTAAAATCCCCAAGCACGAGATCTCCGTAAGGCGCAGCTTGAGTCGCACGTGAGCAATCTCCGATACTCGTTATGGGCTTTGGGTACCTATGGTCTTTGTAAGGATAGACCTGGACATGACGCAGCATAGGCTCTGCCAAAGACTTCAGTATACGTCATAGGAGAGCTTCAAAGAAGGAGCTTGACTTACTGAATGTTGCCGGAGGGACTTTGTCTAGTTTGTGACGTATCAGTAACACATAAAAGAAAAATTGAGGGACACCTACCGGCTTCCTGATGTAAAGAAAACTTGATGCCCAGCGTTGATAGACCATCATGAGCATCAGTTTTAGCCCAATCTCCAATGAGTTGCATGATACGATGGAAGTAGTCGGAGTTCTCAGGTCGGTCCTGCCATTCCTGGAGGGTGATGGTTGTTTTGGTTTTGGGGTCGAAACAAGTGCTCAAGTGCTGCACGGGCGTATCCCATTGCGCAGCTTGGAGACAAGGGGTTTAGCTAACAGATTCTACCACAGTTCAACACAAGTGTAACATACCAGCAAAGTTGGCAAAGATGCGCTGAACGCGATAGTCGCCGACTACGAAGCCTGGGTACCTCTTGGCAACATCCTGCTTCCAATACTCCTTACTCTTTCGTGTTGCCTCGTTATCTGATGATTGGATATCTAAAGAGACTTGGCCAAGGTTTACTTTGATAGTGAGAACCCATTGAGAAAGAGTGCGCGTCTGGCCGTTGCGAAAGACAACATTGGCCGACTTGATACTGCTCCGACTTAGTCAATTTGATCAGTTGATAGAAGCAAGGATGGGAACAGACCGAAGCTGGTAGTAAGCAAGATTCACGTCATCAGTGTGCGCTATCAACATAATCGTAGGCGCCTCAAGTTCTCCAAGTATTCTATCGCCCTTTTTATCCTTGGGGTGGACAATTCTAGCGACTCCTTCGGTATTCTCAAATAGGTCGCGGAAGCTCCTGTTGATCAAAGCTTGGGACAAGGCAGTGATCTGATCGTAATAATCGTCGTTGTCGTTGGCTGGGCTATCACCAGTAGACAAAGTGAACTGGAAAAGGGACTGATGCGCTGCGGTAGCCATATTTGCAATCTACAATGAATTGACTTGGTTGAAAATGTCTGATGGCTAGAAAACCTGAGATCGACGAGATGATGTTCATTCGCGTAGTGCTGTGCGTATCCCCGAAGCACTCCTTATCGAGCTGATAGATAGCCACATGGTGCCGAAGCCCTTGTTGACGAAAGCAATGTACCGATACATGTCTGACAGCTATACCTGGCCACCAGCCAAGCCCAGTTTGTCATTTCCATCATATGACATAGTCCACACAAGGGTTCTGGAAGAGGTTGGGACTGGAACAGCTAGTAATGGAGGAGTTGCCTCTTTTCCTTCAAATAAAGCAACATCTTGCCCAGGAGTTTCGACCTGGTCGTCGTCGAAAGTCTTTCTCGTTTCCCAGTTTTGCTCCCATGTGTGCTTGTGAAACACTGTCTCGAGGGTGCTCATTTGAGAACTGGATTGGTCTGCGGCGGTCGTAACCGATGCGCGGTCGTCGCTCATCTGAAAGGACCCAATGAATGAATGATTGGCCCTTTTAGTTTCTTCTGCATTCTCCCCATTGAGCTTTTCGTTTCGCCAGCATCCCACGTTGATGGTGACTATCTCCCCAACCGGGCCAGTCGTGTTAGCCCAAAAGGTAAAGCGTGAGATGAAGGGCAGCTTTTCTTTGTTAAATTTGTCAACCCATTCTACATTCAGCACTGGTTGTGAAACACGCTTGGGTGTCCATTCACCGTTAAGTAGCTCAGTCCATGCCATTCGTATCTCCCAGTTACTCGGTGACTTTGTCGTATTCAATGAATTACCCGCAGCTTCTGAAAACGTCATGGGGGATTCACTTTTTCCCATTGGGGTCTTGGGAGTCAGGATTTTGACCATTATTTCTGGAACATAGACGGTCAGACGATTGCCACGCATGACGGGAATGAGGTAAGCCCCGGAGTTGGTAACGCTCGAGCCATTCCAATCTGCCTCGTACGTGACAGAACCAATGTCCATCAAAGTCCATGGTGTCCACATCGCTACATCACTTGGCTGTGTAAGCCTCATGCTACGGTAGTAGAAGCGATATGGTGCGCTGCGTGTTTTGCCAAAGAAATGGTACGTCTCCAAACCCCCAGTGGGGTGATGTCGTAGATATGCTTGGATGTCCAGATCTGCAATCTCAGACAGACCTTTCACGTACGTACGGATAGCCTGAGAGAACGTATCCCAGCTCAAATCCTTCTGCATGATGGTTGTCTCGTAGTCGCCAAACAGAGCAGTCTTGTCGTCACGCAAAGTTGGATCAATCCAATTCTCTGGGTACAAGAATGCCTTTCTTGTAGCTGTCCAAACGTTGTGCTTGTGCATCCACGTCCACTTGACCTGGTCTATGTCACTTGGCTGCACACCGGCTTCGATCTCCATGCCTAGGAGACATCGCTGTACATATAGCTGAACGGTCGAGATGGCCTGTTTCATTCTAGTGATCTCAAACTGCGAGCCCATCTCGACGTCGATCAACAACAGATCAAAGAGGCCGGCCGCATCCGAGATCTTGGCATTCTTGATATATGGTTGCTGTAGCAAATAATCGATAAAGACTGTCCGCTGCGTTTCGCGTAGCTGTGCTGTACATGACTTGAGTTGTCGTTTACCAAGCATGAGTCGCAGTTCATTCGCGACCGCCAAATCCTTGTTCGTAGTAGGAAGTGCGGGAGTTGCGAATATGAAGAGATTCGTGATTGGGTGCTCGCTGTCTTGACTCGAATTGGGCCTCAGGTTGCCAGAGACCTCCATGATAGCTTGGATGGATAGCAATTCGTCGAGGCTAGCGACAGTTCTGATGATATCCGCCGTCGCGGCTCCATCATAGTCATATTTGGCATTGATCAAAGTCGAGAGCTGTGCTTCAGGCCATGTCGTAGCACCTATAATGTGGGAAGCCAAGGTTGAAGAGCTGTCAGGGTTCTCCAGCCACGCAAACAAAGTGACTAGAGAATCCTTCTCTTTGGCAATCTTGTCTCTTAGCTGTCGATAGCTCTGTAGCTTTGCAATATCTCCAATACTCAGTGAGTTCAAATCAACTGATATAAGCCCGTTGGGAGTGGTCAGGTATTTGACCTCTTCCAAGCTCAACTCCAGCTTGCGGAACAACGAGGCCGATCGACCAATCTCCTTCAATACCAAGTCAGCCTTCTGGACGCTTTCTTGCACAATGAATGTAGTATCACTGAAGGTTGCTGGCACCGTCTGTTTAGTGGCCCAGGTAATGTCCATGGGCCGAACAGACGACACAAGAAGGTAGGTTTGTCCGGTTGTCATAAGGATGGGATCGGAACACCACTCTGTACTGGATTCCTTGATAGTGACCTTGGCGCCATTGATGTTAAGGTATGTATCTTCGGCAGTGTCAGGTTGTGTTGGCCGCAAAGTGAACGTGTACTCTCCTGTAGCGGTCGGTAGAAAGTAGCCTTGGGTGCTTGGGGGCTTATCCACAGAGAAGCCCCGAATGGATTCTAAGATATGGGAAGCTGACTTATTCTTTTCTGAAGCCATCTCTTTGCTTAAGAGCATGGGGATAAGGGTGTGATCAACGCCATCTAGCTTCTCAACGATACTTCTAGTAGCGAGGTCGACCAAACTTTGCGATCGCAATACGGGCAACATAAGCTCGACAAATTCCAGTCGCCTTTTGCGTAAGATCTTCTCTCTTTCGACTTCAGGCGATTTCTCTCCATCTGAGATGGTGCAAACTGACTCGTCGGACACGGTTGCGGAGTTCGTGGTAGTAAATTCCAGGTCAGAACACATCAAGTCGACCATCTCCTGTTTCTGCTTTGCGGTCGCTTCATCCGAGAATCTGGACAGTAGAGCCTTGAAAGGAATTTTCGACATGCTATCAAGTTCTTTGACGGCGTCGGCAAGGACTGCACAATTCTCGATTTCTTTTATGCTTTCCTCTTTCTCCTCCCCCGTCAGTATTCCTTTTAGGGCTACAACAGCTGTCTGGGTCTTGGTGCCCTTTCCGTTGATGTCAATGGCCACCTTCGAAGGGAGGCCATTGAAGGAGGGAAACGATCCCAAAGTCTTCAATTGAATACTCTTGGTGACCACAAAATCACCTGTTTGACCTCCCGTTAGCAGGCTGGTCCAGCCATAGTGGTCTCTATTACAAACCTTCAACTATCTGTGCCAAGCTCTTGGAAGTTGCAGCGTCGAACATCTGGCCGCAAAGATCCATAACATCTCGCGATGTAACCGTTTTGTTTTGGATACGAGGGTCCCATGTGTCTCTACTAGCACTGATCTTCTCCATGATAGACGAAGTGAACTGAAGGGCGTGATCAGATAATGGAGCGCCGGTGCGTTCAGTCTTGCCAACAAGCATCATAATGTCGTTGGTCGACCACCCGTTATCGGTCAAACCTTTCCAAAGAGAAATACTCTCCAGGGTTGTTTTGGGGTCAATAAAGATATTTCGGTCAGGGAAGACTGAAAGAACCATGTCGTAATCCTTTGGTCGCACTCCAAGTAGTCGACACATCAGTGCATGGCGGTACATCTTGGACAATGTTTCCAAATCAAGCGGTGAGGAAAGGTTCAGCTCAGCAATGGCTAAGAGGATATTCAAATCCTCCGATGTTGTCTTCAAAGTCATTGTGAGAGGCGCCATGTAGAGTTCAATGGCTCCCTTGTCTCTCAGATATTTGCCGTCAGAGTCGGGCCTGAAAACTGGATCGTTACTAAGATATCTCATTGGTTCAAGGAACGCCTTTCTGTATAAGGACTTATCGCCGTGGGTGCTAATCTGCGCCCAAATTGGGAGAAGAGACACCACGGGTGCCTGCGTCAGTTTGCTTAACTTTGCGATTCGCGCGATGTCTTCGAGGACTGCTAGGGTAATGCCTCTGAACGCCTCGACCGATGTAATAGCACTGTTGGCAACGTGGTTCTGAGTGACGGTTGAAATAACGACGTCAAGCTCTGCAATGGTCCATCCTAGCTTATTTCTAAGTCGAATAAAACCTTGCAGTTCATGGCATATCTCCTGTGTTAGACTTCGGATGGGAGACTCTCCAGAGGAACCTCCCTCCTCGGAACTCGCGCTGTTTTCAAGGAGTTGGAGTCGCATTTCTGAGAGCTGCCCGTCGAATACCTTTGAGCCTCTGTTATTGACGATCACAAGTTTTCTGCCAAAGAAAGTAGTGTTCAAGAGCTCGAGCAGCTCCTCAAGTGACAGTCCTGAGCGTGGGAGAAGTTGATCTCGTATAAAACCCAGCCCTGTTTGGTTGCTCTCGGAAGTGTCAAGCATCTCGTCAACAGTTCCATAGCCCCAACATTCGTTGACCGAGGGAATCGACCTATCTCGTGCCAGTACCTCTTTAACCAAGTGCTCTGGAGAAAGGCCGACAAGAAGGTCCAAGAACGTGTCTGTGAAGATGGTCTCTTTGCAGACAGCAGCAAAATCGTGAGGTAACATATGCAAGGTCTCGGCAACATCGAATCGGTGCCATACAGCCTCTGCTTCCTTTTCTAGCTCTCTTCGTGACTTTGAGTCACTTGGAACGAAGTTCATTAGCTGCTTCAGCATGAAGCTAGTTGACTTGAAGTTTGCACGCACGTCCGCAGGCTCGATTCCCATCGAAGAAAGGTAGACTCTGACCGAGTCTTCACCCAACCTATAGGGAAATCGGTTCAAAGGAAACATGGCTTCGGCAATCTTCTTTTCGCACGCGTTTGCCACTCGATCCTGCTCTTCTTTGACACAGCCCTGAGGTACCGAGGTTTCCTCCTCATCGACAACACTGACGGTTCCTCCCTCACTAGCGATATAAGAAGCCAGAATCTCATTAACAATTGTAATGTATGAGACCATGTTCTTGCTATTAGCGCAGGAGAGCTGTAGATATTGTAGATCCGGACGTCTCAGGGCCAATGCTTGAAGCACATTGTCAGCTCCTTTTACAACAGTACTGCAGCGGCTATTTTCCAGGAACTTGAGCAGATCAACAAAATATGCCGACGCGCTAACAACAGAGCAACACTCTTCGCATGGGGTATTCTGGAGGTCAAAGATACTTGTCATGTTGAAATCCTTGGTACCCTTTGCGTTAGGGGTCGTGGAAAGATCTTCATCCGGGAGTGCTGGCCTAGTGATTTCTTCTGCCCCGACATCTGCGATTGCTTTTTCGGTGGCCATGAAGTCTTCGTTAATCATGGAGAGCAGATTAACCCAGGTCTCTTGACTCCGACAAGCTACTACAACCGCATGGTCGTGGATCTTGAGTGCAACTTCTCGATCTAGGAGGTTCTTAGCGGTCATCGTTCTGACGAACGCCTTTCTGCTCGTGGAAGCAATATCTTGAGCAGATGTGAAGTTGTGGTCCAGAAGAGGTTTGATCTGTCGTGGTTCTGTAACCAGGTACTGCAACCTTTGGAGTGTCATGATCCTGCTGAGGACCGCCTCGATGTCGACATCTCGGCTTTCCTTTATTGAGTCAAAGAAGCCTTTGGAGTTGATCTTGTTTCGAAACGCATCAGACGCGATGGATACGTTATTCTTAACAACCCATTCTAACGCAAAACCGATGGTACTGTTCTCTTCTGGTTTAAGCTGGAACTCATTTGCCCTCACAGAAGCCAAGAGAACAGCCAGAGGTTCTTCAAGCATCAGATGGGACCTGAATCGCGCAACACTTTCTTTGTCGTTTGAGGGTAAATCTTCTTTATGGTAGTATTCGAGTGCAACCTTGCTGAGATTCTCCGGTCCAGGAACTTTCTGTAGCAGGTAGCACGCAAGCTTCTCATCCTCTTGGGTTGCATGGAATATCTCTCTCATCCACTGAAGTGACTTGACATGGTCTAGGCTTAAACCACCTTGCCCAACAACGGCTTCAATAGCAGAAATGACATTATCGTGTGTTGCGATGGCAGTTTGGACTTTGGTCACTAGCTCATCATTTCCACTGAACATGGAAGCGACTAAAGCCAAGGCTTGTGGCTTGGGCTGTGTGCTTTGCGGCATGGTAACAGGTAACTGTTGGTGATAAGAATAGTTCGAAGCAATAGGAAACAGTCCTCTAACAAAGCCAATGGGAGTTTGGATAAGGTTGAATAATGATGCACTGCAAAGGTCTTCCAAGTTGGTTACGAAGGCATGAGCTATCATTACACGATGCTACGTACTTCCTATGATCTCAATCCAAAGACGCAAAGAGCTGAGCTAGTCTGTTGAAGGATGTATCGGCCATTGCCGCCGTCAAACCCTGTTCTCTTCCATGTTAGTGGCTTCGGCTACCCATTTCCTGGCGAGGACCGAGCACCTGCAGTGCGCTATCGATTCTGCCCCCCCTGTACTGTAGCGGGGCTTGACAGCGAATAGTGCATGGTGGGTAATTTTAGGTCATGTGTCGTCTCGATTCGGCAGTTCAGCTCTGTCCATACCAATTCTAGACTTCTGTATCTCAAGGCGACAGGCTACGTCGTTGACGTACAGGTATCAGCACCGGATGGCAAGACGACCTTCATGTACCCAAAGCTTGCCTACGCCAGAAATAACAAGATCAATCTTGCATCGTCGAATCTGGTTCGGAATTCGATGACTGAAGTTATCGAGCATTCTTCATCACCAAACTTCATGCAAGATATCACCAAGACAGACAGCCTGGGACCACTATTCGAGACGATGAACACGATGAACGAGAGAGAATATGGAAAGGCTGTCGTTGAAGCAAATGTGTCTCAATACCACGAACAGGCCACCTCATATGCCCTTTACAACTGGGAGCTTGGAGCGCACTGTATTCTTCTTGCAATGGACAGGTTCTTGGCAACACAGCAGTACGATCTGGCAATTCGAGTCGCAAGGTTTGTTTTCGATCCGACGGTGGATGTTCAAGGGCAAACTCGAAAGCAAGCGAAGACAGCTTGCTGGAGATTCCGTCCCTTCAGAGACATTGCATCTGATCCCACTGAGAACCAGGACAAGTTCACTGGTTGGCTAGATGAGTCTACGCTTGACGTGGCAGTGACAGAAAGGAGACGTAACCCATCTAACACACATGCAACAGCGCGAACACGACCGCGAGCATACATGAAATGGATCGTCATGAAATACATCGAAACGCTCATCGCTGCCGGTGATGAATACTTCCGCCAGGCCAGCATTGAATCTCTCCCGATGGCGATCCAGCGATACCTTGAGGCAGCACATGTCCTCGGCCCAGAGCCGCCCAAGATCCCCAAACTTGGCAAGGCAGCCGTGAGGAACTATGATACACTGAACAAAAATGGCAGGATGAGCGTCGATCTCGAGCTGGCTTTCCCTTTCCTCTGCGATGTCGAGAGACGGGGGACGAGACAGTTGAAGGACGACAAGCTGTATGACGAGCAGGATAGATATGGAGTCTTGGGAATCCTTACAACGACGTATTTTTGCCTACCAGCCAATCCAAAGTACCAGACAATGCGGGCGTTGGTCAACGATCGGCTTTACAAGGCAAGGAACAACTTGGACATCAATGGTCGGCCGCTCGTGTATGCCATGAATGAGCCGAGTATCGATCCAGGTCAGATAGGCCGTGCCTTACAAGGTGGTGGAGGGGGGGTGACCTCACTTCTGAATGAGATGGATGGCCCAATGCCAAATCAACGGTTCCAATACCTCATCTCCAAAGCACTAGAGATATGCAACACCGTTCAGAGCATGGGAGAGCAATTTCTACAAGCCAAGGAAAAGAAGGACTCAGAAGCTCTTCAGATCCTGAAAGCGAAGCAGGACACGGCTCGGCAGAGGCTTGCAATAAGTCTCAAACGTCTGCAGAGGGAGGAGATTGAAAGAAACATCGAGCTCCTGGAAATGAACAGATCTTCTGCTGCAGCTCAACTGAGCTACTATCTACAGCTCATGGGCGAACCATTGGATCGCATACCAAGCGAAACGGACAAGTGGGTAGACATTGAGCAGGCAATCGATGCACCGTTCACAGACGACCTTCGTATGAATCGACTGGAGCTCCAGGAAATAAAGGGAACAGATCTGGCTAACAAGCTAAACATCGCTGCTTCATACATAGACATCTGGGCGTTTATGCTCAAGGCTCTACCGCAGGTGACGTCGAATGTTGAGCCAATGGGTGTTGGTGCGTCGCTCAAGATGGACGGTTCGATCCTGGCATCAGCTGTTCAAGCTTCGGCCATGACCCTCAGGACAGGCTCCCTGGCAGCCAGCACGATAGCATCCGATGCCCAGCGCACAAACGCGCTCACGAGACAGTTACAAGAGAGGCGACTCCAAGCCAATATAAAGGGTCAGGAGATCAAATCGCTCGACAAACAGACAGAGATCCAGAGAAAGCGACTAGAGCTCAATGAGAAGGAAACGTGCATTCAACAAGCAGAGATTGATAATGCAGTTGAGATGGAGCAGTGGTATCAGTCCAAGTACACAAACGAGAAGCTCTACGGTTGGATGGAGAACATGATCCGCAATGTTCATTATGACCTATATCAGCTTGCATCGGACCTCGCGCGTCGAGCTCAGAACGCGTTCCGCTTCGAGAAGGGATCATCGGTACAAGGGTTCTTACGACCTGGTGGTTATTGGGATAGCAGTCATGATGGCCTCCTTGCAGGGCAGCAGCTGCAAGCTGACCTGCGACGCATGGAGGCCGCATATCTGGAGCGATCATCGTATGACTATGAGATAGTCAAGAACATCTCGCTCAGACAGCTCAACCCTGAAGCTTTGCTGAATCTTAGAGCAAATGGCACTGTCACCTTTGACATTCCAGAGGTGTTGTACGACTTTGACTTCCCAGGTCACTACATGCGACGCATCAAATCAGTCTCGTTATCTGTTCCGTGCGTCATCGGTCCCTATACTGGCCTAAACGCAACACTGCGTCTCCTTCAGCATCGTTACCGAGTAAGCTCTGTAGCAGCCTCTGGGGAAGAGTACACTGAGGACAGTATGGCTTCGGGGCACTTCCGTACAGACATAGTACCTATCACTTCGGTTGCTATCAGCTCTGGTATTCAGGACTCCGGTGTGTTTGAGCTCAACTTCAAGGATGACCGCTTCCAGCCATTCGAAGGTGCTGGTGCAATTGGTTCGTGGTCCCTTGAGCTCCCCACGGTTGTTCGTTCTTTCGACTACTCCACCATCTCGGACGTTATTCTGCATGTCAGGTATACATCTGTGGACGGGGGACCGTTGCTCCGTAATGCAGCCAACCAAGCTGTCAAGGCTTTCCGTTCCCAGGTTGAAGGCTTGGGCTCCGAAGGGCCTGGCCTTTTCGCCATGTTTGATATCAAAAACGACTTCAGTAACGCATGGTATGCCTTCCGGTCAGGCCTCGCAAGCAAATCTGTTGCGGAGTTAGACCTGTCTGGTATCAAAGGTAGATTTCCCTACTGGGCGCTGGGCAAGACCATAGTCATTACCGGCCTCAGCCTGGTAGTCTCTGGCGAGGTGACGAAAAACAAATTAGTACAGCAATCAATTTCAATTGCTGCTTTGGGAGTGGAAAAGCCCTGGGATTCAGTTCCATTGGGCAAAGCCACTATGTTGAGCTTATCACCATTGAACACAGAGTTGGATGAGAAGGAGCTGGAGTGGAAATTGAAGGTATCGAATGAACAGGGCGACTTCACGGGATTAGAAAACGTAGTACTGATTTTGCAATATGCGTTGACTTGAGCTCCCTACCCTAGAGCACAACGATTGATAAGTAGTTGGGCCATTCTCTATGTCTGTGGAACTCGAGCAAACGATAAAAAACATTAATGTACGGAGTAAAAGGCATCATTCAATATTCAATTATTTGACACAGTGATTGCTATGCATGGCGCATCTAAATGCTATGAAAGAAAGAAAGAATTCATCGACTTGAAGCGATAATAGCGCGCTGTCTCAAGTTCTGAGCACTGACATTTCTATGCCCAATATTTGCCGACTGTGCCGCTGGCCGTGACAAGGGTGACCATCACCAAGATTCTGGCCAGATCACCAAGATTGCAATGCCGACGACTGTGCCTTATCCTCCCGTCAAGGTGATGCATTCTGTCTCCCCTTCTCAATCGGCCTTGACACGAGTGTTCCCCTGCAAACCAGCCCCCATCAAGAACGCAATCCTCACAGCGCCCTGTCCCCACAAGCTCCCCAGATTGACCCAATCCTCCCATCTCCACGCCGCCGGGTTCCAGAACACGTCAGGAATCACAAGCCAGCTCGCGTACAGGTGCAGCGCATCACAAATCAATATGCCAATCAACACAGTCCTCCAAACACGAAGATCGTTGGTAGCGCGCAGAAGAATCGCTTCGTTGTAGGCAAAGAGCGTGTATGTCGCCGCGACCTGATTATAGATAACGCGATTGTCGGGTGCGAATTTGGCGGTCGGGGTCATTGTGTTGAGGAACATTTCGGGGGCGAACCAGATGATGAAGGAGCCTGCGAATGCGGCAAACGGCTCGAACCAGAGGAAGAGGATGCGGTACGCGAGGGGGATGTGAGTCAGCGTCGTTCTGGCCATGGTGGTTGATGCTGTTGGTGTACTGTTGAGGTGAGAATGCTGGGAGCTGTAAAGTTAACCAAGCTTCGAGACGGGTCCCAGGGGAGAACAGGTTTCGCTAGCGCGTGCTTTCAAAAGCCAGAAGCTATGGATTATTAAACCGAATTCCCGTCTTAATTTATTATCCTAACTTTTAGTATCTAATTACCCCTCTTTTAATCTTCTTTTAGTTATATAATTAATATAATCTAACTTTAAGGCTTATTTAGGTTAAACCCTTTATGGTTTAGGTTAATCTATTTTAATTATATAATACTATTAGTTTAATATACCTCCCTAAAGTAGAAATACTATAACACTTTAACTACTTAAATTCTATTATTAAGGTTTTTTAATTAGTTTTTTAATATATTAGATATTATTTAATATTAATTTTATTTTATTTTATTATTATATAATTTTTACTATTATTATTTAAATTATTTTTTATATTTTTAATAAGTAAATTAGTAATTAAGCTATTATTATATTATAATAATAAGTAAATCCTATAAATAATAAATAAATCTTTTAATTAATTTAAATAATAGGCCTTTTATTTTTAAGATATTTAAGCCTTTTTTTATTATTAAATTTAATTTTTTTTTCTTTTCTTTAAGTATTAATACTATATTTAATATATACCTTTCTCTCTTCTAGCTATTTAATTACCTCTTTAAGCTTTATTTACTGTTTTTAAAGTGTATTTATTAATTATTATCCTTTATAGGGTTTAATATATATCCTTAAAGCTTTTATATTATTTTACTGTTTTTATTACTATATTATATATATTTTTATACTTTAAAATCCTTATTTAAAGCTTATTTACTAACTTTAATAGTAACTTTTCTCTATTTAATGCCTCTCCTTTTAAGTAAATTACTTATCTTTTATAAGCTTTAAATTATTAAAATATATTACTAATATATATTTAATAAGGCTAATACTTTTACCTCTTTTTTTATATTTAGGTTTATTAGGCTAAATAAAAGATATAGGTTATTACTGCTAATTAAAGTATTAAAAAATATTAGACTAAGTTAGGCATTTTATATTATAAGCACTATAACCTTAATAGCTTTTATTACTTAATATAAGTAATATATATTATAATTTTAAGTTATATTTAGCTATTTTAAATTATATAGCCTTATTAATACCTTTCTAGCTGCCTTTTTTTTTTAAATTATATTTAATAGGCTAACTATTTAATTAATAAAACTATATATATTATTTTTATAGTTTATTTCTTTATTTTAAATTATATTAATATTTTAGGAATTTTTAAGAGAAAAATAAGTATTATATTATAATAAAAGTTATTTTAAAAGGTATTCTCTTTAATAGCTTTTTCTTAACTAATAACCCTTATTTTACTTAAATAAGGTATATTTTCTTTTTTTATATTATAGTTAGTAGTTTTTATTTTCTTTATTAAGAAAAGTCTTGCCCTTCAGGCTTTTATTTATTAATTTTAAATTATTAATTTTTTCTTAAAACTTTTTTCTATAATTTAATATAACTTTATAAATTATAAAATATAAAATATATAAATAAAACTTAAAATGCCTTAAGTAATATTAAATAAAATCTTATATTTATTTTAAATAAGATTTTATATTTATCTTAACTAGCTTAATAAGTTATAAAATAATTAAATAAAGCTTATACTTTAAATATTAAGCTTATTTAGGACTTCTTTAATTAATTACTTATTAAGCCCTATACTTTAATATCTTTAAATATAATCTTAAATATTTATAAATCTAAATAACTTATAGCTCTCTTTTAGCTTTATACCTTATAGGGCCTTTATAAGTATATTTATAACTAGCTTTAAGCTTACTTTATAGCTTAAAGATATTATTTTCTTTTATATATATTCTTATAGCTAATAGTTATAGATATCTATATATTAAAGTTTAGTTTTTAGCTTTTATAATAGATTTTTTAAGAGATAAATTATTTATTAGTTATTATAAATAAGGTATAAATTAGTATTTTAAGACTTATTATTTATACTTTAAAAAAGCCTTTATTAAAATAGCCCTTTTTTTATAGCTTATAAGAAAGTAAGTAGCTTTACTTTAGTTATTAAGGTTATTACTATACTTTACTTATTTACTCTCTATTTAATAAGTCCTTTATAGATCTTTATTATATAGCCTTATAAGCTTTTTTAATTAAAGGTATTATTAGTAAATAATATATTACTATATACTTTAAATCCTTCTTTAGGACTAAACTGTAAATTAAAGAAATAGATTATATATAAGTAATTAAATATATAGTTAATACCTTTTATATATCTTTTACTTAAGTTATTTATAAACTAAAATAATTTTAATATTATAAATATAATATCTAGTTAATTAATAATACTTATATAAAAGATTAATTTAATTACCCTTTTATATTAATTAGCTATATATTAATCTGCCTTTTTTAAATTTAATAAAAGTTCCTTTTTTTTATTAAAAACCTATTTACAGTATTTATAATATATATTTTATATATCTTTTTAAAATATATTATTTAAGTAACTTAAATACATTTAATAATATAATCTTAAATAATTTATATATTAAAGAATTATTATAGCTTATTTCTATTAATTAGCTTATATTTCTCTTAAAGAGATTTTATAAATCAAATTATAAAATCTTTATCTTTTTTTTTATATATAATAACTATATTATCTATATAGAAAATAATTAATGGATTTCCTTTTTTATAGTAATAACTTTTATTTAATATTAGCTTATAGTTTAAAGCTTATAATATATTTTTAAACTTTATTTACTATAAAAGCAATATAATCTACAGTCTATATAATACTTCATAAAGAAGTAATATCTAATTTTCCTTTTTACTTTTTTTAAAGCCTAAAGGCAGTTTTATAAATATATTACTTTATAGTTTTATATTATAGAATATATTAACTATATTATATTATATTAGCTTAAGATTATATTTAATAGTAATTACTAAAAGTATTTAAAATAACTTTTTAATTAAAGTTATTATATATATTTTATTAATATTTAATTTTTACTATTAGTTTTTTTAAATAATAAGCCTTACCTTTTACTTTTATAAGTATTTATATTTATTAAATTTATAAGTAAATATCTATATATAGTTAAGTATTTTTAAGTTATTAATATATAAATTACTTTTTAAAATCTCTATTTAAAATCCTATTTACTTATAACTCTTTAAGTAATCTTTTTATACCTTTTTAAACTTTACTTTAAATCTATATTTAGTTAGATTACTATAGGAATTTAATACTAAAGGTAAATTCTTTTAATAGTATTTTTTCTTTTTTAAATTAAGGCTTATTTAAGTCTTTTATACTTTATATTTAGGCTTTAGTCTTTTATTAATATATTTACTTTTTATTATTTTTATTTTTAGCTTACTATCCTTTTTTATAATTAAAGCAGCTATTAAGTTAATACTAAAGGCTTAATTTAAGATATAAAGGTCTTTTTTTTATTTTTTTTCTCTTTTTTATACTTTAATTTATTTAAATCTCTATTTTAATAAAAAAGCTTAATAATAGGCTTTTTAATAATATTAAAAGTAATTTAAATCTAATTTAAATATATTTTATAGATATTATATTCTTTTTATCTTTTAACTTTATTTCTTTAATAGGTAAGTCTTTAATTAAACTTTTAAGATATATTTTTTATATTTTATTTTTATTTATATTTTAAATAGGTTTTATTACTTAATTAACTTATTTAAAGTTTAAAAAAGCTTATAATTACTATTATAACTCTTTAAGGATTTATCTCTTAATAGTCTCCTTTAGCTATATTTTATTAATATTAAAGAATTGTTTTTTTTTAAAAATAATATTTTAAGTTATATAAACCTTATTTATAATAGGGTTTTAAACTTTAAAGATACTTAATAAATTATAGTTAATTAAATAATTTATTTATATTTTTAGGCTTATCTTTAATTAAAAGTACTTTTCCTTTTTTTATATATTACTTATTAATAAAAATCCCTTATATTTAATAGTTTTTATATAATTAATTTAAGGCTAGTTACTTTTTTTTATAGTTAAAATACCTAAAAAGAACCTTTTATATAGTATTTTTTACTTTAATCTCTATTTTAGTATTTA